ATGTAGAATTTATCATAATCTACATATCGTAATCTGTGGACGTAATTCTGTATTGGGGTGATGGAGCTTTTATCTTTAATCTAAACTAAAGTACTTTGAAGCGTGAATTGTTTTATAAAATGGTTTAATTCTGTATGATCTAATAATAATTTATAACACTTCTGTTGTGCCGTGACTATACAGTAGAATTGCCAACCCATAACATTTCATTGAATTATTCAACAAAAGAACATTTCGTTTTAGTATATTTCTAATTATATTTATGGGAAAGTTTTTAAGCTGAAATATGCTAACTATATTTTCCTTTTCTTTTTATTTCTCTTTCGGTATAGTCATCTTAATGGCTCGTCTGGATAAAATTAGAACCAAGGAATATTTTGCATCGAGTAGACATTCTGAGTTGAAGTAGATGTAACGACTTGTATGTCGAATTGCGTCAGACGATTAGATTTAAACATCCATTGTAATACTTCTTAAATTTATCATTTCGGAAGGTTGTGGAGGGTTGTAAAGTTTTCATGAAAGCACATGCGTGCGTTAGCCGTAAACATGAATAAATAATTGTTGTCATTGTGAAATTAGATGGATACAAGTTCAACTAAGGAATATTTTTTCATTTCAGTTAGTTTCTCATCAAAACTCTACCTTAATATATTACCTTTTAAATTAAATCTAAAATCAATAACAAATGAATAATGATAGATTAACTAAGTAGTCCATCTCAATATTTTATCTAAAAGTAGTAAACAATCAGTAACTCAGCATGTGGACAGTTATAATTAATATAAATGAAATGGGTGAAAAGAGAGTTAGATCATCAGATTATTAAGAGAGATTATGTAAGCATGAGATCAAAATTAAAATCGAAAGAGTATTGTGAGAAAAGTAAAAGTAACTAATTAAAAGAACAAGGTGGCTAAGGAAGCTGTCAAAGCATTTTTACGTACAAAGATTAACTTCACTGTCATGAGTTTCTGTGGCTTACACCATATCTCAATTACAGATTCTGTCTGTTCAAAAACCGAAAAAAATGATAGATTTAATGTGTTTCAGTTTATCTGTAACCTTTGAAAACTTATAACATATGAAATTTAGTGGGTAAGCAGACAATGAAGAATCAGCATGTTATTGCAAAAAACGGATTTTCAAATCATGAGGGGCTTTTGACATCTAAACCTAACAATTCGTAGTGTAAAGCAAGAATATGAAAATGCTAGAGGTCTACTGTAATAATCATAATTGGTTTATTTCTTAATTTTATATAAACACTCCATTTGAAGCAGTTATGAACAGTAGGGAGAAAAAGCAACGTTTCATTTATTTTCCTTTTCCTTTATATTTACGTAAATCCTATTAAAATATCATACTGGGTAATTGTCATATTTATGTGGCAAACAATAACTTGGTGAAGTAGATCTCTTTCTTTAATTAATGGTCGTTTTAACTTGGTGATTGCCGATCATTTCATAAAATTATAAAAACGGAAGATTAGTAGTGCATCCACTTACCAAGAGCATCAAAATAGTATGAATAGTTAACACTGCTGGAAATATTTTAAAGTTTAAACTTAAACTTATGGCATTTGATGTCAACCGATACATCCCGAATTATTAAAACAATGTTCCAGTTTTTCAGTCGTGACAGGATCGATCTAAAGCTATATAGTTACAATAAGACATTACCTGGATGGATAATACTGACTCTAGAAAAGTATATTCAATCTATAACCTTATACTTATAACTTAATTAACACTTAATTTTGTTGCAGGAAAAAATTTGGAAAAGTATTAAATTACAATTTAATTTTGCTTCTAATTATTATTAAATGAATCATTTAATAGATTTAAACATTTAAACTATTGGATGCCATCTCAGTGATTTAGATGTTGAGCGCTAGCAGTGAAACCTGAAGGTTCTGGATTAGATTTTCAGTGAGATCATGGATACCCACTGCTGAGTAGTCATATACTAATAGAAAGCAGCTATACAGTGCTTCTTTGTCTTGAGTGGTTGCCTAATTATCTTGAAGGTTCAGGTATCAAAAAATGTTTCAAATCATCGAAAACCTAGGGGCCTTTAGTCTTATTCACAGCAAAGGAAGTAAACCAGATGGTATAACTGCTATTTTAAGCATATTGGTAAACGAGTGATTTTCAGTATGAATGAAGTTGACGATCATTTGTTTTATCACTAGTGAAAATTTGTTTCTTTTGGAATTCTCCGACAAAGTTATTCAAGCAAAAATTTATTGTGAGGATTTCAGCAGCTGCTCATAGAACTAGAAGAGAAATACAGCCATAAAATTAAAACGAGCATTTATAAGAGCGTATTATTCTGAGTAGCTATACTTATACCAAGCAGTGACCATTGTCTAGCTCAATAATATTTTTTATGAAAATAACCAAGATCAAACATCACATTTCATTTCCTTTGTAATCTAATATACATCATAATTAATTGTTTCCCGCTTTATATTCAGAATAAATTTTACCAACTGCAATATGAAGCATTGACCGTACTTCTTCATTCAATTAGATATACTTTTTGATATAATATAATAGATAATTGAATCTATCCGTGATTATTAACGGTCAAAAATATCAGACAAATATGCTTTTTATACCAGTTTACTAGTGTTTACCTTAGTACTGCCCACTAAACGTATACAGATAAATTTAAAGTATAGTTTTGCTAATCAATCACCTTTTCATTACGGCCGTTTGTTTTCTAATTTGTTACAAAGTAGTTTTTATCCTCATTGTGTTATTAAAATAGAGATGTTCTCCAACGTTGTTTTTTTTCAGTGTTGAACACTTATGTTTAAAGTGATTACAGATATGAATATTATAATCTGTTAAATTTGGCTGACCTTTTATAAGTATTGTACATTACGACAATAATCTGATGTCAATGAAGAGTAACTAACTTAAATCTTATACAATACAATACTCATTTACAAATGGTATTTTTGTACACATAGCTACAATTTTAAATGATCACAGTTTACAATCCTTGACTTTCCTACAAATTTGTTTCCTTAGTTTGTTCGGTAAAATTTCTTTAAAATCAATGTCACTCTCTGATTATTAATCACCTAAGGTATTATCCTAAAAAGCATGGTACCGAAAAAAGTTATGATAGGAAAAGTGGAAACTCATATAGATAATGTTATCTGTTTTAATGTTCTACATCATGTCTGCCTTTTTATTCATAAGAATTAATGAAATCAGTAGTTCTATTATATCATGAAACAATTAACTAATGTTTATTGTCGTATGACTTAATTCACTATAAAATGTGACTGTTATTTACGCAAAATTAGTTGCACTAAATAGCTTTGAACGGATCAGTGATAATTTCAAATTCAGTGTTAATTGTATTAATGAAAAGCTTAAACTCTGTACATTATATGTTTGTTTCTCTTAATAATTTTAGGTGAAATATTTGACGTATTTTAATTAATGACATTGAGGTGGTTGTTTGAAATAGTTAACAAAATCACAGGTGAACGAGAATTCGTATCTATTACATTTGTAGAAAATTATGGTATAATACTCTTTTAATCTACAAAACAACGAAAAAGCATAATAGCTACCCTAGTTTAGTATTTCATCATTTCATCATTTGTTACCTATGAATTTGTTTATGGATATTTGAAATAATGAAATTTTATGCAAATTTTATTCGGCTATTCAGAAGATAATAACATGAGTATGATCACATTTCTACTTATGCAGTTAGTAGTGTCTAAACTAATTAATCATATTCGATTTGTTTTCATTTAGTCTTGATTTGTGTGTAATACAGCTTGAAGCTAATAAGACATACGTTAAATAATTCACTTTACCCGTATTTGGTTTGGGCGATTGGGTTGTGTAATGCGCTTTCACAGAAACAATGTGGTTTAAATTCATGTATATAGACCTGTACGTAATAAATAACGTAAAGGTTTCACATATGTAAAGTAATCGAAGTAGATTTTGTCATGTTCATATCGTAACACGTTACTGGAACCTTCTTTTCATATTTTATTGGAATATATTATTCTAAATTTTCTCTTCATTCAGTCAATTATCATGAAATAGTGAGTCTTCAAATATAAGTAATGATAAATAACTAATTAATGTAAACTGACTAAAGTTAAAAATTGGTTTAACATTTCACTGACAAAAAACGTTTTTCACGCTTAGTAAACTTAGTAGTAGTATATGACAGTAAAACGACAAATATGATTTTGTGCAAATGTATATATCTATATATAATAATCATAATAAAATTTCTTGAAGGAAAGAAGGATCCTCTCACTTGTCAATAAAATTCTTGCATGTTGAACAAAAATGATGCATGGTCCGGTTAACTTTCACTGCATCTTTGTTTCAAAGTACTTTTGTTGAATTTAGTATTGCAGAACATTTTGTTTTCATGGAGAAGTATATGAACAGAGTAAGAGGTTTTTATCTGATAAAATATCACTTGTGAGCTATTTTCCTATTTACAAATGTCTAGTAACAACTATATGCTACAATTTACTGATTGTTTTATGAATAGCTTCCAGTTTATTGACATTGTGTTTTTTTTAATTATTTCATTATAATGTAATAATGAGAATTTAAATACTAACACTAGTAAAACAATTTTATTGTTATCAATATACAAATTTTACTTCATAAATTAAATAAACTTCATCATTTTATAATGTTATACTTCATAAAATAATTTACACATATATCGAGTTCCTTGCCAAAAAAAAATTGTTTTTTTTTCTTTTAAAAATAAATCAATATATTTTTAATAAAATTATTAATATGGATAATATAATTTAATTAAAATTGTTTCTTAAAAAAGAAAATACATTTACATTTATAAATAATCATTAACCTTGTTTAAAATTTTTGATTTTCAGATTTTTTAAATTTTTCACTATATGATTAATGATGACAATGATAAAGATATTTAAACTAAATAAGAAAAAAATGTTTACAAATTCAACTTGAACAAATATGCTTCAAACAATGTTAAAAAATAAAATTAACAGTTCGTCAATACAAAAGAAACATCTTACTTTACCTATTGTAGAAAACAACATTCATATCATTAATGATACACTTATAGATAATTCTGAAATTGGAGATAGGAGTAAAGAGAATGTTTCTTGTCAACAATATTTTAACTTAAAAGAAACAACATATATACCTGATGTATATGAATTTAGACAACAACCTATATTAGTCTTAACTGATCAAAGAAATTTACAAACTATAACATCACTGTCAAATTCTACACTTCAAATTACTCAGTCATCACAGATTTCTGTAAAAGATCAAGAGCATCAAACATCTTCACGATTATCTAACCTACAGTCAATGAATTCAGAGAATAATTTACATAGAAATTATGGTAAGATCAATGATATTGCTAAATTATCTTTAATACCTATACTTCCAAATAATTCAGCAAGTAATACAGAAAAATTATGGTTGCTTCAACAATCTTCTGATAATTCGGTGACAAATCCCAGCGTAAAACGACATTTTAAACGTCGTGTAGCAAATCATCACTATAATCAACGCCCTATTTGTTTTAAAAATGAAGAAAATCTAAAGAACTCTTGTCATTTACGAAATACAAAGCTTGATGTTAAGAATAAATCTGGATATAGTTCACTCAGTGCACCATCTTCACTTATATCTAATGCGATAGCTACATGTTCAGAATTACAAAATGAAAAGACTAAAGAGAATGAAAAAGTGAATTATCAACAATTACATTTATTATTACCTACACTATCGACAGTAAATTTGACGAATGATGATCATGAGAATTGTTTAAATTGTAAATTTGTAAATGACTTTGATATTGCTTTAAATGAAAATAGCATTGTAGCAACTGAACCAGTACAAATTACTGACCGATCATTTTCAAATCAATCTATTTCAAACGACTATAAAGCTAATTTACTAACATCTAGCGAATGTCTTTCTTCTTCTTTAGAAAATCAAAAATTAGATGATGTTATTCTTAATAGTAGTAGTTGTATTAATTCAGACAATGGTAATTTTCCAATTCGTTCACATTCATTTTTTCACTTACGCCGGTTAGATTCCCTTAGTTCAGCTGGATCTCATTCTAAACCTGATATAGATACATTATATCCTATGAATGGTTCGTTCAACCAATTAGCTATTCGTGTTTCCTCATCACCATTGTCAATTTGTACTAATAACATCTTTTGTCAACATAATAATTGTTCAGAAGACCAATATAATAAAGCTATGTTTAATGGTAACAATCATGGTAGCAGTAGTATCAAAAGCAGGCGGAGTAAATGTGAGAAATATGTCAGTCCGGACAAACACACTTGCATTAGATCTTATTCAGCTATGAGACATCCAAAAGAATGTAATCCACGTGTATTTCGTTCACCTCTCGATGTCCTTTCACCGTGTAAAGGTGAGAAATTTTGTAGCATTGTGTCAAACATTAAATTTTATAGCAAGAACATTCTTTGAAAACATAACGCATGTCGCTTGGTGCTTTGAGTTAACTATAACCTCTTAAATAATTTCACAAGTTTATATATTAAGATAATGTAATATTGAGTAAACTCATCATGTACCGATACATTACATCTGCTTGCATTGCAACTTATAAGAAACGTTTGATTTCGATGTTATTTAAAAAAAACTGAATTAACTATCAAGGGCCTTATCACATAAACAAGAGTCTCTTTAGGTAACAGTAAATGTTAGTATATTTGAAACATCTCTCAATAAACAGCTGACAAATAAGTAGTCTGAAATTAATTATTATATGAAGATCTCATCAAAAGTTGTAAACGCGTCTTGCGGATGATTGTCAGTTACCTTAAAACTGTTGATGTATGACATGAGTACCTTGTTATGTATCCTTTAACCCTAGTAATAATCGTTAGCGTGCCAATTAGTCAAACTGATAATTGTTGTTCGTATCTCTGAGCCAAATGGTTTAGTTGCTAAGCTTTCATTGTCGTTCTAGGCAACATAGTCATTTATGTGATGGACATCTTTCTCGTCCTACCATGGGACTCTTCAGAACTTCTCACTCACGAAACCTTAAGCGGTCAAACTTGGGACCTACAGGTTTTGTGGCTAGCATCTCTTCTTTATACCAGGATTTCATATTCACGGATTTAGTCAGTAAGCAATACTGTGAAGCTGCTGTCTATTTACATCAGTGATATATATTTCTTACTGAAACAAACTTTCTCCGTAGTATTACATAGTTTTCGTTGGTTATCCAACTAGTCAGTACGTGATGTAAACTACAAATAAAACGGTCACCTTAATTTGAATATACTAACATTTTTGATAGTTGTCATGAAATGTTCTCAGTTAGCCTGGTGTCTCAAAAAGATAATAAGTGATCCCTCAAGCTATGATATTGGTTGATATATAATCGATTTTCAGTTCAGATAGAAGATTCCCCAAACTTAGATTCCCCCACATAGCAGATTACACTATATCCTTTGTCTTTCAACTGTATAGATTCCTCATTACTTAAATAATCTAATACTGATCTTTAATTTTTCAACATATTTTACGAATTTTCGAATGTAAGATATTAAATAAAATTACGGTATGACAACTTACTATTTTCAAGAAGCTATCTTTTAACATTTCTTATTACCACAAAGGTCACCAGATGTAAGGAAAAAAACACTTCATGCTGCAAATTATTTTTAAGCTTTCTAAATGCCAGATTGTTTAACAAACGGCATGAGATATTTGTATATGTGGATATCACTGTAAAATGTTAGTTTGTTATAAAAGTTGTGCTAAATTCATAAACAATTTTTTAAACTACACGTTTTGTATAAGTATCAATGTTATCATTAAATACATGAGCCAACTGAAGCTAGACCACCATGGAAAAACTGGAAGCGCTGGACGGTCGTTTCATCCTACTGTGGGACTCCTCAGTGGTGCGCATCCACGACCTCGCCTCATGAGATTCGAACGCAGGACCTATCAGTCTCGCGCGTGAGCGCTTAACCTCTATACCACAACTATATTAGCTATCTTATGTGAAATTTTAGGTAACCCTAACTCATAAGGATTAGCTTTAAACGACAGGAACAACTAACAATACATAATGAGGTCACATTGAGCTGGTGAAAACAACTATAAGAAAATTATTTTATGCTTTGGTCATCAGTGATGTTACACTTCTGTAGAACAGACCGTCTATAAAAGATATTAGGCTAGTCGACAGGCAAATTAACTTTGTTTTAACTTAAGAAACACGTAAGTAATCCATAATTCTTGTATTATTTGGCAAGTTTTGTTAAAAAGTAAATGGTAATGAAAGTTCGTTCACCTTGGTTAATGGGAAATTTTTGGATTATGTGATAAGTTGTTTATAACATAAAGTATGTACAGAACTCTCAGTTATGTATCAAATTTTTAGCGCATTTGATTTTAAAATGATTACAGCTACTAGTAATCTATTGAATTCACAAGTAACAATACACACATAACATACTCTTGTAAAGAGACCACGTTATAAACGAAATATAATAAAAAGATGACAACGTTTACACAACAAATACTCCTAAGTATGCATTTCATCCTGAATTTCTTATGAGCTGCTGAGTATCGCTTGTGAGGGAAATCAATATGGATATTCAATGATATTTGTTTTATACTTTCTCGGTAAGTGATCTAGTTAAAAATTTGCTTACCATAACACTGACTACAGTTGTTTGTTTTGTATAACAAATAAAAGGGTTTTTATACCCAACATGTATCTGTCCAAATAACAAGATTCAAGTAAAAAAACTGTGTTATGCTAACTTACAAGTCTTGGATAGAAACTAATGAGACAACCATTGGAAGTCCTTTTAAACATTATTAGTAGCATAATTTAATTCGTTAATAAAAAAGCATTAGCTTTTTGTGAAACGTCAGTATTTTCTTCAGTGAATAATAGAAGCTTCCAGGTTTCCTTCAGTGGTAGTTCAGCTATCATCACTTCATTATTCAAACTATGAGAATAGTTTTTATTCGTATTTTATTTAATCGAATATCAAACTTTATCTCGTTCCTAATGTGGTCAATATTTTTCCTAATCAATGTGTTGCTATCCTTTTTGAATACCAATAAACCTTATTATTATTATTAATTTTATTATTATCAGAAAGGGTTTCGTGGAGATTTTAGTAATTTTATAGTTGAATTCATGAGTCAATTGAAGCTAGACCACCATGGGAAACCTGGAAGAAGAGAATAGAGGCAATCTCGTTCATCGTATTTAATTTAGAGTTGTTAATAATTAGCTTAGTGCACAAATAGTTCATTTCTGATCATCAAGAACCCAATACACTTATTTTCTACTTTTAGTAACCCAGGAGTATAGTTCTGTCTTTAAGTAACGTAGTCATATAGTGAAGATTGACAGTATTGTTGTTCTGCCTTTATCCTCTTCTTTCTGGCAGTTAACTAGGATGGAAAGTCCCGGAAGAGTTAAATTAATACCGAGTTAGTTTGATTACATATCGATTGTGAAATAATTGTTGACTACGCTATTTTACCAACTGAGCAACTGTCACCAAACACAGAACCATAGTAAATTAATCAATACAAGGATAAATTCATTGAAAATCAACTAGCACACTTCACGATGAATAAGATAATACCATTGAAAATACACTGAGTCAGTGAATAAAACTCAGTTTGAATAACTTAACACAACGAAAGTAAACTGAAAGTAGACAGATCCAAATTTACATTAAGTCGATGTGAATTTTATAATGGATTTTTCCTTCGCATGATGCATTTGGGTATGTCACTTCCCTAATAAGAAACACCGTAAATCAAACATATTCTGTTATAATGCATCTCAACTTAAAATAAGAATGATTATTAGATTTAGTTTGATGTCTTATCAATGACTCACTATGAGACATAAGAATATATAACTGAAAGAAAAACCTATTAGATTACAACAAAAAACAGTAACTGTTAATTTCATGTATACATGTGCGTAATTGTTTTCAAGTTTCACTTCTTAAACATTTGTACACTCACTGATAAATTATACGTATTTATTTTGATTTTGTAAAGTATAGTTTCCATAGGTGTACACTTTTCTATTATTTGTCTTTTATGCATTTTTACTTCACATACAACACACAGTTCATGACATGAACAACATTCACTGTCATCTCACATTTTTTCTTTTAACTGAAGGGAAACTATAGCAAAAGAAATGTATGCATGTAAGAAAACAGTCACAGAAATTCATGTTGATTTACAACAACTGTCACTGTATATCACTATAGTGGTTTTGTTTCAAAATTTCAAATTGAGGTTAACCATCTTGATTTCAGGTAGCGCTACCACCAACTTATACTAATGTGATGACAGACGTTACTGTCAGAATTATTTCTCCGATATGATACATAATTTGATAAGAATTTATGTTCCTATGAATATATTTGTATGTTTGTTTGCTTATTGGTAAAACCGGATTAGGAATTTTTACAATGTTTCACCATTAAATTGTCATAAACTAAAATGCATAAATGTGAAATCCTTCATATATTGTTCTAACTAGTTACTGTTTGCACACAATAAAATGCAAAAATGTAAAGATGAAGTAAAAGACAGTTGATTTTGTAATGAATAAATCTATCTTTTATTCAATTTTATAGATTTACTGAAAAGAAAATCAGTGAAGTGTTCATTTTGATTTTCTATTCTAGCACACAAACAAATTTACATGCATAGATAAACAGTTTCTCTTTCATATCTAGTTAACATGTTTTTTGTAAAACTATCTTGGAAACTGAGATAGCTTTGTTTTGTTTTTTTCTCATCATTTCATTTCATTTGACAAGATGGAGTGAAGGAAATCGTAGCATTTCATTTTACTTCAAATTACAGTGTTGAACAAATTGGATTTTGTTATTACTAGTATTCTTATTACATCTGTTTCTCTCCCTCTCTCTCTCGCTGACGAGTAGAAATGTAAAGGTCAGCACAAGACAAAAACAATTTCTTATAAAAATATATTGGCATAATATGAGATTTTGCGAAAGAATAAACGAGAGTTTTTGAGTCATTGGATAAGAAATAAGGAGAATTCAGTGAAGAAAATTTTCTGTTTGGTAATATCATTTCTTAAGTTCTATAGTCGTATTTATTATTAATTAGAATACAGAACTCTATAATACGGCAAAAAATTATTTGTATCATATAATAAATGGTCGATCTTAATAATGTCAAAAATTAAAACAAATTCTGTAAGAAAAAGTCATTAACGTAGTACAACTGCTCATTACTGTATATCATAAAATATACGTTTCAGTATCTTCAACCATATTCATGTAAAATCATTCGGTATTGTTTACTTGAATCTTCCGATTGATGTTTAGGACTGCAACTGATCTGTCTCTTATTGGCATATGTGTATACTGTTTGTATTGCCTCGAAATCGTCTTAATTTACCAGTTTTATAAGCAAAGGTAGATAGTGGATAATAGTGGAATCCAGGACTAGTGTTTCGTATTATTCAGGACTCATCAGTTGGATATACCTGTATCCCAGGGGTGATATTCACTCTGGGACTGAGTAGCTAATTGGATAATGCGATGGTGTTTGAAGCGAACGGTACTGGATTCGAGTCCCAAAGATGCAGGTACATCCAACTGATGAGTCCGAAATAGGAGGAAAAGCGTGTTCTGGATTACACTGCTAACCACGATTCATGTTTGCTTATATTCATGTAGTTTAGTTAAAATAATATGAAAGTATGTTTTTATCAATTATTAAATAAACTAAAATCATAAAGTGTTTAAATAATTTACAATTTTAATATTTTGAATGGGTAATTAAACACTAGAGAAAACGTTCTTTTGCAAGAGTGACTCCTCTGTATAAACTTTAAATTTTATTGATTACATCAACAATAACTGAGTTTTAAATATGTCTAGTCTAAAATGTAATGACATTATTGTACTGACTTATTTTGATCTGATCTTCAAGAGTAAATTTCTTTAGAGTGTTTTTCAGAAATATGGTACGTCAAAAATATAAATAATAAAAGATTTTGTTGAACATTCTCAAAATGTTATTTCAAATCAATTAAAGAAATTTATAAATGGAATATTATTTATTCCATCTATTTATATTAAAACAATTTAATTGACGAAATATCCTTTAAACTGATTCCATTGTACATATTTTAAAATTAAATCATTGAAAAGGATATTAATCATTTATGTTAATCAATATTCAATGAGAATAGTTGATCGAGAGTTCAAATTTAATATACCAAAACATTTATGTTGAGTTTTGGTAGAATTTGTTTTATTTCCCTTTTATCTTCAAATTTTCTTTGTGGATCAAATAAACTTATGATTTTGAGTTATTTATAAACTGTATTATCTCCAAATAACAAGTGTCCTTGATAACAAATTGATTGGTCATTGGGTAGTGACCAATTTCTTGTGTGTCAAGTTCTTCTTAGTGTCGAGCGAATTTTGTTGATCAGGCTGCAACATGGTCACTAGTCTACGTGACTCGAAATTACGTACATAATGATGAAATGTAAGATGGTGGTAGAACGGTTTCCTGTCACGTATCTCCAGACATCGTCTTACATCCTTGATAGTATACAGTTGGTATTTAGCTACTGCGATATTCCTTATAAGGATTTACTTTTGTAGTTAAGTTGATTCCACACAACAGCAGGGAAATAATTTGAAATTAGTGAGTTACCCAAATAAATCAAATGTTTAATTAGAGTTTCGTATACCCTGATACCCAAGTAAATTTAAAATGAGGGAAAAAGAACAAGATTTATAGAAAAACATGAATTTCTTACATTTCAAGGCTTTTCATCATCTGTAAATAGGCATGGAGTTACAATTAGTTATTTTTATGATATTGAGCTCTTTCGGCTAGATGGTTTAATTGTATAGCTTTACTTGTTATTGCAGATAACATCTTCAGCTCTTAGATCATGTAATATCATTAAAAAGAAGATTTTTCATAAATGAATCAATGGAACTTAGTTGGCAACAACACAGAAAAACATACACAACTAGAAAAGAAAACAACATATTTAACATGACAACTCATGTTGATCATTAGTTTTTGGTTGAAAATGAAGTTGTATATACAAAGGGATGATATCATAAATAAAAAGACATTCCTAATTAATAAATGATGATCAATACATCTAACTTATATAGCATTAAAACTTACATTTTATGTGAATGTCAATGAAATTCTCCTAAATATAAAACAAAGTGAACAGACTAAGTGACTGACAAACATTAAAACAATATATTTAGTTTACCATAGCAACATAAAAATGACCATAATTTTCCTGTGTATACTACGTTCAAGTGGGAAACCCTTGATGGCGATTGCCTCTACAAAGCAGAGTTAAAAACATGTTCTCTGATTCCTACTTATTTTAAACCACTTTGTGATACCCATGTTATGTCCCTTATTAATTAAATATCTAGTGATTGCGCTTGTGAACACTTTACCCGTAATCAAACGTGGCTTTCAAGGAACATGTTTAAAAACCCTTGTAGATGCCTTTCTTTCAATCTTTCATATGTACCTGTTGCCATGAGTACATTTAAATTCATAAATACATTTGGTAGTGAGGTCAGAGGGGTAATGATCCGCTCTTGATTGTTTTGAAGAACATTTGGTGTTATATACTGAAATTAATTGAGCTACAGGAAAGGTTCTTCAGAGCGCCGCTTTCACCCTTTTATCAATTATACCCAAAATCTCATCCCCTTCACATGAAAGTTGGATGAAAATGCGTTTTCTAAACAGTTATTTGTTTGGAACTTTCCGTGAACGTTTTTCCGTACCTCACTATAAGTTTTCCAGTGTGCCCCATTTGTTCCTCTACTTTATTAGTTGAAAACAACCTTCTAGACCTACAAATGAGATTTTGACTGAACGGCGTATGTGATCAAAAGAAATAAGCATTTATAGTTTAATCACGAGCCATCTATGTGTGTTTTCTGAGTGTGTTGTATGTGTTTATCTATTGTTTTTCCGTCTTATGTTCAGGTCAAGATAGTTAAATTGATAATTATCTTCAAAATCTATAGTTACGTTTTATGATTTCACGTGATTCGTTAACGTGGCAAAGTAATTTTCAAACATGATTCATATCATCACAAATAAAAGCAAATAAGAACACCTTTGGATGCTGGCTCAGTAGTCTAGAGGTTAAGCGGGACCAAAGATCCTGGATTCGAATCTCGCGTGAGGGATGGTGGATGCGCACTGCTGAGGGATCCCATACTAGGACGAGATGGCCGTCCAGTCCTTCCAGGTTTTTAATAGTAGTTTAACATTGATCGGTTCATGATTTTAATTAAAGTTCTAAAGTCTCCACAACTCTATCTGATAATAAAAATGTATGCTTTCAATAAAATGTAATATTTTCAGTTACGTATTTGAATTGCTTCTGTTCAAGGTTAGCCATAAAGATGCTAGCCAATGTAGGCCTGAGTAGTGATCCCATGGTCACTTTATCGATTTTACCTCATAACAGGCTGTTTAATTTAAATTGTACTTTTTTTATGCATTGAGGCATCATGGAGTGATGGAAGTGATTCATGCTTCTGGGAAACCACATTTACAGTTCATTCTATTGATGAATTTGTAAATAATAAACAGAAATTAAATGGTTTATTTTATTTATCCGATATATCCATCTGGTTCACATTTTTAGAAAGTGAAATGTTTCTTTCAAGGTTTACATGATTTCATTCCTTTCGCTTTATTTAAATTTATTAGGGTTAACTATAAAGAAATGTTGACCATGTCTGAACTTAAAATAGGGTAAAATACCTTGAAACTGTTACATGATACTTATTATATAATTTAATAAAAATAACTAATGTACATGTATATTGTAATCTATATATATACACGATATTCGATAATTTTGATGTTTGATTATAATTCCTTGAAAAAGCTTGGACCAGATTGCCATGCGAAACGTTGGATTTACTTCAAAATTCATTCGCTGAGATTTTACAAATATATATTATTCCTATTTAATGTCTTACAACAACTCGGCGCTCAAATACTGTGAAACTATTCGCTCTAATTTAGACGAAAGTTCTTATATATATTAAAAAGCTAAAAAAATTACTATACCGGTTACTAATTAAATTAATTTTATGCTAAATTCTATCAAAATATACGTTGAATTAGTTAGTGATTAATCGTTTTTATATTAAAATTAAAAAAAGTTAAAAAATTTTCACTCAATTAAAATGTGGTCCATCGAATATACACGATCAAATAGGCTTGTATTTAATGAACCATCTAAGAATTACCGTTTATGAAAGATTTCCTATTGCATTTTTACTTGATTTCGTAAATGACCAATTTCATTAAAAATCTGATTTGATAGATCAATATAATTTGATATCAATTTATTTGGATATGTAGTTAAACAGGGTCAGATCCTGAAAAGATGTAACTCATATCAACTTTATATCGATGTGTGTAAATGTATTGGTAATATATCTGGAAATTTTATAGTTATGATTTCAGTGATTTATTAATTTAAAATTTTGAATTAGTTATTTGATATGAAATAGTTCGTGAAATACACGTCTTAATTTCCATCAAACTCCGACATGTGTTACAATTTTTCAAGGTGTATTAGGGGTGACCTGGTATATATATATTAAGGAAGATGTAAATGCCAAATTTACCTCAGTTTGCTATGAATTTAAATCTAGAAGACACTAGAATAGATTGGGCAATTGGATATAATTTCGAGGTTATATGATGGTCACCGTCTACAACTTGATGCTTCATAATGATCACATATCATTTATTCTTATTGAAATGAGTTCTCTATGTTAGATAAATGATTGTATAGATATCCGTAAAGTTTAAAGGTGAATTTTCTCAAGAACTGGCGAGCTGAGGAGAATTTGACACATTTGGTATCGGAACAGATATTTGGAATTGCTTGTAGAAAGCCATGACATAAAAATCTTTCAAAGTTAATATTGGGACGTTGTTTACCAAAACACTTCAAAAGCTATGTGTCACAAGCTGAATCAACTGGAAATATTCTTTAACTCTGTGTTTCAGCTAAGTGACTGAATGGTACTGTGGTTGCAACGAGAACCGATTGTTTTGACATTAGCTGATTAGCTGTTACTGAATATACTGTTCGGGTAAACATTTTTGAGAATAGACTATATCTAATTCAAAAGACTGAAGTGACATTTAGTTAAAATGAAGAGAAAGCAAAAGAATCCTGTATTTCAGATATCTTTTTCCACAAGTTCAATGATCAAATCTTCATCTCATCCACTACTATTTACCCTTTTTTCTTTTTCTTTTTCTCTTCATTTTATTGATAGGAAAACTTCGATTGGATATAGAATATCAAAATCATTCAATCAAATTACACGGTAAATTAAATTATTCATGCTTTTTAAAATTTGTCGTCAATCTTTTGTTAGATATTCATAAATAGTAAGATTTTAATCGTTTAAAGATCCCCATCGTATTAAAAGACTAATGTTTAAACAAAGAATATTCTTTTCGATAAATTCTCTTCAGGTTCTACAATTTATATATCCAAATTAATAATCCCAAAAAAATGGCCAGGTTAAAGGCAAAGTACATCGTTTAAAGCATGTAAATTTAGGAATGTCAAATCAAATAGAATAAAATTGTTAATGTTGATATGACTCATATATATGTTAAGTGAAAATTTAAGATCTTTGATCAGAATACAAATATGGGTCAGATAGGGTAAGAGAGATATGATAGTGAAATTACAATTCGATCAAGTGGAAGATTAAATTGTGTGAGACGTAATAAGGAGGGATCAATGCGAAATGAATGAATCATGTCTAGGGGAGATTAATAATGAAGTTTAACCAATAATAATATTATATAAGAACTTTCGTCTAAATTAGAGCGAATAGTTTCACAATATTTGAGCGCCGAGTTGATGTAAGACATTAAATAGGAATAATATATTTATTATAGAAGGGGTTTTGTGGAGATTTAGTATTTATCATTGTTGAAAGCGTGAGTCATTTGAAGCTAGACCACCGTCGGATGCCAGCTCAGTGGTCTATCGGTTAAGGGCTTCGGCTCGAGACTAGTAGGTCCTGGGTTCGAATCTCGCTCGCGAGAGCAGGTTCGTGGATGCGCACTGCTGAGGAGTCCCATAATAGGACAAAACGGCCGTCCAGTGTTTCCAGGTTTTCCATGGTGGTCTAGCTTCAATTGACTCACGCTTTCAACAATAATATATTTGTAAAATCTCAGCTTGGACCAGATTGCCATGCGAAACGTTGGATTTACTTCAAATTCATTTGCTGAGATTTTACAAATATATTATTCCTATTTAATGTCAATAATAATAATAAAATACAAAGACTTGTGAATAAAGATAAGAGAGACGATTACATTTGACTACGAAAGGTCGTAAGTACGTAGTCAAATTAGGTCATCCAATAGCTAGGATTACTATTGATTAATTGGTCTTGTAGTTGGAGGGAGGAGCATGGGTTGGAGATATTTCTTCTGTACGCATATCTCCGGTTTCTTCATCCTGATTGCTACTGCCTCAGCCATTTGAAGGACTTTAAGCTTGACAAGCTTTGGCAAAAATCACTGACCCTATAAATAATTGAAAAGGATTGATTTATACTGGCACTATGACCAGTTTGTACTGAATGGGCCAATATAGAGCTGTTTACTTTCTTCACCAAACCTTTACTTAGCCACGCTGGGAGGTGTTCACAAGCACGAAAATGTAAATTCCTAGAACTTCGACCAATACAACTTGCTCCACAGGAGCAGTCGAACTGATAAATACAAAATGAGATGGTCAGTCTAGGTAATTCATCTTTAAGCCTCGGAATCACCACTGAGCGCGTAGAAAACACTCAACGCAGTTCACCGGCGTTGAAAGATTTTTGGATTGATCTGTGTAATCTCTGAGTTAGTATTTCGCTAGCTGCATCACCTCTGAATTGTAAGCGCATGAACAAGGACTTCTTCTTGATCGTTTGAATTTTGCCTATTTTCACTTTCATGATCATATATTTAACTATAAACTGTCTGGGGTAACCGTTTTCGCTCAGAGCATTATACAAGGTGTTTAGCTCATTTTCAACTATATCAGCCGAACATATAGTGCGTAATCGGTAACTAAGGGTTTTGATGAAGTTTTGTTTGCACTGTAGAGGTACAAACCTAAGGAAATGTGTATACTGCCCAGTCCAAGTGTTTTTTCTGTTTATGTTTCTTTTTAACGATCCATCCGCTCTCTTAGTTAAAAGGACGTCCTAAAAGGCTAGTCGGCCATCACTCTCTTCCTCCGATGTAAATAGAATTACTGGATGCACTTCGTTAAACTGCCTAAGAACGTCTTGCTGTGATATATTATCTTTACACAGAATGAATGTGTCATTCATATATCTGCAGTAAAATTTGAATTCTTGAATAATCTTTTTTAGAGGACCGTTCTCTAGTTTAGCTAGTAATATATCAGCTAGTGTAGACCCCAGAGGTGAACCCATTGCTACACTATCTGTTTGTCTAAATATTTCACTGCTGAATTTGAAATTTACATTCATGGTGCATTTCAGTAATAACTCATTCAAGACATTAATCGGAACTGTAGTTTCAATTTCATTTTCAATCAGTTGTTCCCCTATATATTCTACGGTCTCTAGGAGTGGGACATTTGTGAATAGTGCTGTTACATCCAAAGACATCATCTTGAGTCCCAAAGTATTGACATTTTTTACTTTATCAACGGATTGAAATACATCCTTAACACTGTTTTACCAGCTTTTCGTGGAGAGGTTTCAATAAAGTTACCAACCATTTAGCTATAGTATGATAAGGAGAGTTATACATATCTAAAATAGGTCGTAATGGGATCCCCGGTTTGTGTACCTTTGGTAATCCATACAGCCTTGGCAGATGGGTTCCCACTGGTTTAATCATTTCATATAAACCAGACGAAATAGTCTGTTTGTCTCTGAGCTTCTTCAAAGAACTAGTAAACTCCTCTATTTTCATATTGAGATCTTTATGATTAGTTATTTTTTGAAATTTTAATTTGTCATTTAAGATGGTACCCATTTTACCAATATAATCGCTTTATTAAGAAGAACCACCCCTGAACATTTGTCGGGTTTCGTAAACAATAATGTCTCATCCTTTAAAAGTACGTTAATAGATTCCTTGTGGTTTTTTGTAATTAAATTTACTGTTCTTATACTGGTAGCAACAGTCTACAAGAGTAGATTTAAATTGTTCCAGTTGTTGATCAGAATTTGCCATTAAATCACGTGTCTGACTGTATAGATTCTCAAACTGTGCATCTGTATCAGTAATATGGTTACAGTTATTACGAGTATCACAAAATTTTAGACCTAAGGATAATACCTTTAGTATATCTTTATCCAGTTCAACATCCTAGAAATTATGCACATACCTTTTAAAGTCTGTTGGAAATTTGCCTTCGGCTGTTTGACTTTCCAGACCTTTCAGTAACTGAATGAGTTTCTTACCTGATCTATGATCCATAACATTCGTAACATAGTCCATCAGTTAAGTCATACTTTCTGCGAAAAACATTCATCCCATCTTATCTCTCTCACCCTATCTGACCCATATTTATATTATGATCACAAATCTTAAATTTTCAGATTCAAGGTAACATTCTATATGAGTAATATCAGCATTAACAATTTTATTCTATTTGATTTGACATTCCTAAATTTACATGCTTTAAACGATGTACTTTGCCTTTAACCTGGCCATTTTTTTGGGATTATTAATTTGGATATATAAATTGTAGAACCTGAAGAGAATTTATCGAAAAGAATGTTCTTCGTTCAAATACCAGTCCTTTAGTAAAACTTTAGTTGAGACTTTAAAGTGTACCAATTTCTTGTCAATTTAAGGAGGTGTAAAGGTTTCGATATCTTTAAAATATTTAACTAAGTCATTTATCAGTTTTGATTAAAACTTAAATGACAGGTGATATTCAGTATTTCCAGTTCTGAGATAGTAATGATAAAGTAAGATTAAATAAATCAATATTTTGATGTTTATGTAATCGGGTAGAACTTTATGATTTAGCAAACAAAGTTTCTAGTGTTAAAATGAAAGAAAAAATGTTTGATGAATGATAAGTAGTGATACGATATGGTCGAGTGATGTATACTCAGGAAACCGAGGTAGACCTCCTCTGACAAGGCATTTGAAATTTTAAAAAAAGATAGGTAGCCAGAAAAATAGATTTTTTCTGATAAAATTGTTGTTGTTTTGTACAAAATATTAACAGAAAGAAAACATGGTCATATAACTGTTAGATATAATTCTTGACTGTGATATGTAGTTGCAAACAAGTGGGCTATAAGCTATTATAAACACTGATTAAATCTTGAATACTCTCACTCCTCCCAAAACAATCAATAAAAATGAAGATAGAATTTTCGGCAATTGATTTATTCCAATGTGTAAGTAAAGACTCGTTATTTTGGTCATCTAGACTCTTAGATCAGATGTATTTTTTAGGTGAATATTGATTGACAGAATACAAAACAAAACGGTCAATTGTCAACTTATATATGCACATTTCAGTGCACTCTTTTTTAGTCGAGTAACTAGTAATATAAAAACAACCTGAACAACAAGAAGAAACAACTCAGAACAAACACATTTTTTCCAATAAAAATTTATTTATCCCATTCTGTGAGTTATATGTAATTGATTATTTACGAATTAAAAAATATGAAGAAATAGTTCAGTTCTGTATTCAATCACTTCAACCCAATATATTAGAGGTGATTTTACATTGATTTTTGTATAATTCAAAAAGTAATTCTCATTGCAAGGTAACACAAACTCAGAAATTGCACTAAACCTAAAGGCGCAACTCAGATATTCTGTTAACACTCAAGAATCAACATTGAAAAGAACCATTAATCTTCATTTTTTGTCATAAATATAAAGTGATTTACTCATTCAATGATTCAGAATTCGAACTCTTGTAAGTTCTCTTCAAATCGATTAAAGAAAAATTTCTTTATCCTTAACTAGTTAAATTTTTCAAATTTCGGCCTATCACTGAAATTTTAGAAACGCAACTCAACACTTACTCCTTGTATGATCTTGGTTATTGTTAAAGTAACGAGTTTTCACTGACTTTTCAAAAGTTATACGAAACCTCTAACCTTCAGAAAACAGTATTCAAAGTTCGTTTTGAATAATACGTGATTATTTATCGTGTAGTTTAATAAGGTGGATTGGTTCTTCAGACACCTTGTGTTTCACAACAATAAACATGCTTAGAAACGAGTTTTTATTTTTTGGCAGGAGTTCAAGTAATTTAATGCTGTAATGTTAGTGAGTCGTGCTACTTTCTGAAAAAGTGGATGGATCTTAAGATTAACGAAAGATTATCTTTATAAAGAATATTGGTTAGATATCAATCAATATCAGTGAATATTGTATTCACGTGAGATTTCAAGAACTGATTAAATTAATTTTCTGATCGGTGGTTCAATTAACTGAAGGGGGTTTAGTGGAGATTTTGGTAAATTTTACAGTTGAAATCATGAGTCAATTGAAGCTAGACCACCATGAAAAACCTGGAAGCATTGAACGGTCGTTTCATCCTATTGTTGGACTATTGATATTTATCTCTATGCAATTTGTATGTATTTTTTATCAATTCATCTTAATTACTAATCATTTAATGAAAAATAATTCATCTCCTTTTTTTTTATTTTATACTTATAAAGCTGTTCCAACAAAGTTGACAAAAAAAAATCTTAATTCTTAATCCCATAGTTTAAAATAATTATTTTTAATTAGATCATCAATTTGTCCCATTTACTCACTGTTTTCACTTAGAACAAATTCATTTATATGAAGTGAAATGTTTCCAAATTTTATCCATTTATTGAGTTTCATTAGTAACTCTGTAACAAAATTACATTAAATCTATTTGATTATTTATACTTACATCTTTAGACCATCAGCATAACTTGAAATAATTTTATGAAAAATAAAGGAAAGATATTTCTCCATTGAAATTTTATGGACATGTAAGATGTACTTTGCAATAAATCTCCGATTTTCAAAATCTGTTCTTGATCTAGGTCACCCTATACAAATAAATAACTTGTCAACATAGTAAACTATGGAGATTTTCAATGATGATATCTTAAGATCTTCCTCATTAACCTTTAAGGCTGCAAAATTCTAAGTAATTTACATGTGGCATTTGTTGTAATTAAGTACCGTCGAAAAATGAGGACCGTCGGAAAGCTTATTACTCTTTACGTGGGACTCGTCAGAAGTTGGCATCTACGAACATTAAGAGACGCCGTAAGCACATGACCCTTATGATGAAAGTTGTATTATTCATTGGCTCACTTTAGCTATTGAGTTATAGTCTTACGTGAAGAAATTCATGTAAAGGACCGTGAATGGGCAGGATAAAAATCAAAGTTACTCATCCAACTCATTGTGATTCCTAATTCAACATGACAATTTTACAATAGAAAGTAACCTTTTTAACAACGACGGCTTATTTCGATGAGCTAGAAAGGTATTATGAGTCAGTGGCTGTTTAGATATTTAGCTTTCATAGTCAAAAAACAATTCAGTTATGGTTAATCAACGCATTATTCTCCCGTAATAATGAAAATCTCATAATTAAGGTATTAAATGTTTACTTAAATGGTTAAATTAAATGGTTACTTATATCCACATCAGTAGTAGTACATAACGATGGTAGGGCATTGGATGTATTTCAGTAGAAGATCGATAATGAAAGAACAAGAACGAAGCGCAATTGGTATGAAAATACATGAACAATAAAGTTGCAAACTATGGACTGATAGTTGCAAAAGGAACAGTGAAGATTGAGATAACTGATTAATAGTTTGCAAATTAACTGTTTACGGTACGGTTGGCGGTTGGCCGCCTATGCTCCATTGGGAGTAACAGGCGTAAATATGTCAGGTATGGTTGTCAGAGTTTAGTGAGATAGTCTGTAATTTACGTGCCAAATACATTCGATTGTTCCCTCTCGTTTTCTTGTTTACTACACTTGTTGTTAATTCAAATTTAGTGATCAGTAACTTAAAGTACATCTAGCGGGCTTTAAGATGAACATTTAACTATCATAAAGATGGGAGAGTCATCAATCTCCGATTACATAGCTTTCCAGCATTTCCAGTTTTATACAATGTTGTTTGCTTATTTTATTTAATGGAAAGTTTCAATAATATGTTTGTAGAACACACCTTTATTGTGTGAGTGCATTCTTTATATTATCACCGCAGTAACTGGAATATCTTTTTTTCATTTCAGTAATTGAAGCCAAAGGACTTCGTACCACCAACAGTCAGAATTGCAACTCTTTCGTGAAAGTAAGCGTCTTTTGTTGGATTCCTTCTTGACAAACTAAATACTGCTATAATATTTTTGAATGGTTATTGCAAAAAACATTATCAGTATTCACATCCTCTAATTCATACTATCTGTGCTGTAATTCTGTTTTCTTTACCGGTTCAGATATTCAGAATAAAAGGTTTCAATTGTCTTCTAAAATTCTGTTGAGAAAAAACTGCAAATCTGTGTATAATTAAACAATGCTCTTCAAAAGAAAAAAAACAGTATAAGGAAATACTATATACTAAGTAGGAAAAAACTAATGATAATTTTAATAAATTCTATTCAACTATTCTAGAGTCTTTTTTTGTAATACGCTGTGTGAAATTGCTGGGGCTTGGTTATTAAGTCTGAACGTTTTAATCCAGTAAACTTTATCATCGTTCTAAAAAAACATTATCAAAACGACGAAGAAGTCTCAATAACCGTTGGAATGATTAAGCCCTCAAATAAACTTACGTGTTTTTTGACTAGTCAACGTGTATGACTTGCTGATGTATTTTAAGCCAAGTTATCAAAAGACACTAAACATATGTATCTACTTTTCAAATGGCTGAATTTAACTTTTAGTTGTGAACATAATGTGGCACAATGTGACTACATTTCATCTGGACATCGATATATATATATATATATATATATATATATATATATATGACCAACGTTTATGATATTTGTCATCCATATTTTGTTGTACTCAATTAATACGAAGACACTTGGTCAGGATTTGTGGGAGTTTTGCTTGTTCCCATTCTTGAATTCACTGATGTTTCCGGTTAAATTAGATTTTGAGACACTCTATTTCTTCTATTTCACACCATCCTTAATTACTAATTAGGTTAATTAATAAGTATAAAAACTCTATTTGGAGTGATCACTCAAATGTATTTGAAAAAACTACGAATAGTACTTTTTTCTTTGATAATATATCATCAATAAGTCATGATTTTGAATTCATGACATTGATAAAGAAGACACTTGATGAAAGATACTTTTAGATTATAGAAATGTACCTAAATATTTATTTTTATAAATATGAATCAGAACTTGTGGAATTTTTTAAGCACTAAATGTTAAATTACTGAATAGTTCACTTCAGCTGGACAAGTTTACTATGAGGGCTATTGATCAGTGTATCGCTAGTTCAAATGCTATAGTTAACCAGTGGTTATGAAATTAATCAGCAAAAAATGTTGTCACTAATTGATTATAAATTTTAACCAGTGTCACATTTGTCTGACCTTTATTACTGATCGAATTCCACCTTCAACAGACTAACATTTAAACTGGAATGGTTTACTGAGGTAATTATTCAGTTTGCAAATTACATAGGTGCCAATACATCGTTAAGTTGGTCTATCATTTTTTTCCGATTTCAGATAAGTGCATCTCTAGATAAAGGCGTTACATTTGAAGAAACTACTGAAATAGTTGAAAACTCAGCAACACCATGTTATAATAAAGAATTTTTGTTAAATCTAAACAAAATAAAGTATTGTAAAAGAATTCATCTTGCAATCTACGCTCAATTAACTAAGGAGTTGGACTGGTGAGTTGACCTATGGTTTACATCATAATTCGGGACGTTTTTATACTTACTTTCATCATAATTCTTCCTTCAACTCCCAGTGCAGAGTTTAAATGGTTTACTTTGTTTAATCTGGTTGATGTTGTTTAGCAAGGTTATTTTCTACAGGATGGGGTTGCCAATCTCATGCCCAACCCTCCTCCTTTAAGCGGACTTGGGACCTGCAGTTACTCTGGAAGAGCTGTAGGCGGAGTTAAAGTGGTGAACTAGAACCGTTGAACGATAAGACTTAACAAAGATTGATATCAAGCTAGAACATTTATTAAGTTCAAATTAATCCTGATTATCTTTAGTTCGTATGAGTTGACAAAGACATCAAAATGCATTATATAGACAAAACTGAGGCTGTAATTTAATTAAATATTCATTGGGAAAGCTTATACTTAATTTGATTATTTTTCTGTCATTTCATTGAAAGTGAATTTCTTGGTGGAATGTCTTTTGGAATTCCCAGTATACAAAACAAGAAACACGTAAGTCAACTAGACGCTTATGGTTTAAAAGAAATAAAAATATTTACATTTTTATTGTTTTTGTGCTATCTATTTGATCGATGGAATAAATTCCTTACATATATATAGCTAATATTAATATATAAATAATAACGGTAATTCATTTTAAAAATTCTTAAAGCTTCAGTTCTGAAAATATTCAGCCATACTATAAAGAGATTAGTCGACTGTAGATTAAAACTTAGAGTACTTATTTACTTACGCCTGTTACCCCAAATGGTGCATAGGCCGCCGATCAGAATTCCCCAACCCATTCTGTCCTGGGCCTTCCTTTCTAGTTTTATCCCACTTCTGTTCATTCCTCTCATATATGTTTCCATTTCTCGGAGTAATGAGGGGGCTTGTCTTGTGACGTAAATGGAATTCCGTATGATGTCGAACATCTTCTCAGGCACGCCGTAGTGTCGAAGAAACCTCCATAGTGTTTTCTTGTCCACCCTAACAAATGCTTCCTCATAGTCAATGAAGTTGATGTAGAGTGATGAATTCCATCCAATCGATTGTTCCACAATTATCCGTTGTGTTGCGATTTGGTCTGTACATGATCGATCCTTACGGAATCCAGCCTGTTGGTCTCGATTTTGGGCGTCTACGGAGTCCTTCATTCTGGTATTAAAGAAGCTGAAAATCACAAATATTCTGTTGTAGATAAATAGATATCAATGTACTGGCTACAATTTGACTGAGTAATTTACCACTCAGTGCTAAATATTATATATATTTTTTAATTTTTTTCTTTGATAAAATTAACTTATTTTCGTATTCAACATAAGTTTCATTTCACGCTCACAGCAGAAAACTAAAACTGTTTACCAACAAAAAAATGAAAATCATTTAGTTTACCACACTTTACTACTTAAATCTACCAGTTGGTTATGCTGTAGTAAAGTGGAAATGTAGTCAACTCAAGTGAAATCAAATTAGTTTATGTTTAGTATCGTCATCGTTAGGATGATCATTGAAACAAAAAAAATTAACGGTTAGTTATTTCGATGTGGATTGAAATTACTTATCAATGTATGTTTATAGTTCTGAAGTGGATCAAATATATCACTTTCAGGTCACGTTAGCAATACGATGACTTGAGACAGTTATTTCGAAATCCAACTGTTTATCGCCCTACCTTTAGCCAACTTGTAATATGATGTGACTATAATTCTTTTCCCACCAGTGATACGTGTCTAACTAAAGTGCACGCCAAATGAACATGCCTACATTCGTGTTTAAATTTTAATTTTCTTCTGCTCTATTTACCATAGATTTCAGGTTGGTATTATTTATTAGACGAAAAAATGTTTAAAAAGAAGCACCTCAAAACTGCTTTAGATCCTATCACCAACTTTGAAAATGTTTTATGCGCAACAAATGAATTGATCGTATCAGATATACTGAAAACCACATCTGTCAGTGATGCTGTGACAGCAAACACGTCAGTAACAAATCAACAAATCCCTGTTATCCTAACATCGATTAATGAACATGTCACACGTCCAAGTACAAATGAAATCCATCCTAATATAAATCGTAATTTCGCTAACAATAATCACAATATAAATGAATATTGTTCAAGGGAATTTCGTCCGCTGTTGTCACCTACTAACTTCATGATTTATTCACAAAATCTGCCCAATACATTGTTACCATATCAAATCGGTAACCCACCAGTTAATTCACATTTGCCACAATTACCATCACCAATTCCTATACGAGCAAATATGTCAATTCCAAATACGAATAAAGCTTTAAGTAACATGAGAATATTTCAAGTGAGTTAAATTATTTTCACTTAAGTTCCTACAGTTTTCACCAAGTACTTCTCCAAGCTATGATGCTCATTGAATTTCGGAAGGCTCAACAACATTTTATTCTTATTCCGTGTTTAAATTGAACGGGTTCAGAAGACCCATGACTAAAAGCAAACCATCTCCATTAATTCACTTGGTGTTGTTTAATTGTATCTTCCCATTGTTATTTAAGATTGCAAGTGATCAGTTTCTGTTTGGCGTATGTTCATCCTGTGCGAACTGCCTCGATATTGCCTGAAGTCATAAGCTTTATAAGCAATGATGGTTATTGGCTAGCAGTGGAATCCAGGACGCGCGTTTCGTCCTATTTGGGACTCGTCAGTTGGATGTACCTGCATCTAAGAGTTGATGTTTACTCTGGGATTTGAACCCAGTACCGTTCGCTTCAAACGCCATCGCGTTATCCACTTAGCTACTGAGTCCTGATAATCCTGAGTTTATTTTAGTAGGGAATTCAAGTTTATCATCATTTCACTGAGTACTAGTATTTGGAAGCATGTTAAATGATTGTCAGCTAGCAAAAGAAAACCTTAAACTTAGATTTTGTCTTAGTTAACACTCATCATCAAGGTACGCATCGAGTCCAGAGAAAAATGATACTACATAAAGAATTCATTCTAACGCCACCAAGTGTCACAGATAAGAACTTTGCAACTAAGCTATTCAACAGTACTGACGATAAGACGAACACCACATTGGTAACCCCTCATTAATTGTTCAGTATATATATTACAGTCTGGCAAGAAGTTAGTAAGACTAACTCAGTGGTAATGTTTATAGGTAACTTTGAGTAATGCAGTTTTGAATTTCACGTGAAGCATCAGTTTCCTGAGAATACTATACATACCCAGATCAAAAGTGCTAACTAGAGTGAAAACATGATCAAATATGACTTTTGTCGACCGGCTCCAACCATATCACATAGTGCAAAGTGTCAAATAACTTGTAGAATATTGGTCATATTGCAACGAGATCGGTAGGATTACGTCACTATTAAGGACTAAATAGCATAGCATTGGTTACTACTCTATGATCCATCAGTGTGTACAAATCGTTGAACTCATCAACTTTACGTCTTCATCATTTCCAACACTAATAAACCCAACCATGTTTGTGGTTATGAAATAGCGTATAAATATTGTATGTATTCGAAGGCGTGCTACTTCTTGGATTGATTGATTAGCTTGAACTTTTAAAGATTTATATTAGAATTTAGCAATTATATCGTGGCTTATCCTTGTTTTCACATTCTGATTTATGTGAGTAATCACTTGTTATTAGTTAAACTTTACTTATTGTATTCAGTTCTTTCTGTAGTCACTATTGTACGTCGGAATTCTTGTTTTTTATCAACTTTTACCCTTACCATAATGTTTGTATGGTAGTCCTATAGTCAACTCCATGAACAATAATTAGGAATTCCTAAACTTTGGATGATTTTGAATAGTCTACATTTGTGCTGTCTATTTTTTGTTGAGTTATCTGAAATGGCTGGTTTGATTAAATAGCTTTTGTTGTCGTTCTGGATGACAGTATTATCACTTACTATCATACACCTTTCACTTCTATATCATATTTTCGGGAAATAGTACAAGATAGTACAAGAATTTAACACTACAAAAAAGTCTTCATTTCATTAAAAGTCTTCTAAGTTATTTCAAATTGTTGTTTCTTGTTATGAGCATCATCTCCTTAACTTGTATGTCGAAAAATGGATTCAGACATAAAAAACTGTTGTTTATTGGTTCAATTAATAGAGCGAAATGAACTAACGAATGCTTTAGGAAAGTTTGAATTTTAATAACAAAAGCAAACTTCTATCATTTATTTCCACGCGAAATCTAGTAAGGCTTAATTACACGTTATTAACTTCATGTCGAGTAACTAAGGTTTAATTATGCAAAATGTGCGATTGGATTTCTTGGATCTCGTTATATACAGATTCTATTACTTATGATAGCTGCGAAAAACTGTCACTTGCTACTTATTATGGCGGAACAAATACTGATAACACTTGGAGAAAGGCAAAACACTTCAGATAAAAGTTAATTCATGAACCAACTATACAACCACAACCGATTATAGCGACATCAAAATATTACAATGACGTGTCAGTCAGTAGGTAAAGTTGAATAAATTTAACTGGTAGTAATCGATATTAAATAATCAATAATTTGACGTACATGGTGTAATTTACTGAATCAATAAATGAAGTGTTTTAACTAACGAACAAAATTTTTCCTGACAGGATGAGAGAAAGCTTTTACTATGTTTACGTAAAACACGATTGAAAAGTAAGAATTTGTCAACTAACATCTTTTGGACAATCTTTTATTATGGTATAAGACCAAGAACAACTTTCATTGGTTATCAATATAATTGTCAACATTTCATTGTATGCCAGATGAAGTGAAAGTTCGTTTCGTAAAATCACTTTGACACATGTGTATATTCAATTCGTCAACTCCAAAAAAACACAAATTATTCATTATGAATGTTTAGTGTGGAATTCCTCTAATCGGAGTGAAATTTCGGAGTAACTCACTTGTGTCCGGTAGTTTAAAATATTGATCGTTTTTAAAAATTATGTCCATTAATTGTATGAAACAATCACTCTACTCAAACCACAACATTTAAATTGTCAAGATTAGTTTTGATAAAGCAAAATCGTTGTTACTAAAAGCTTTTAATTTGTGTTCGTAGATATTCAGAACTGCACAAGATAAATGTCATACATGCTAATCAGGTTAACTACAAAGCGGACTGTGTGTTAGTGTTTGTAGCAATAAGTGCTAGGTCCCAGTCTAAGTATGAACATCAACACCAGGCAAATCAAGGTCCGAAGTCTTAAATAGAACAAAATAATCGTTCTGGACTCAATCATTGGCAAAATATACCACAAGCTTAATTATTTTGATTGACTAAATTTTCACATATGAAAGCCTTTAAAAATCGGGGGCCACTGCGTTGACAGTGAGTTAATTTATAACCTGTACATTTAAGACCATGAAGAAGGATTAACACAGAATATGACTACAGATACATGGTGATAGCATCAAAAATCATTCGAAGATATGTGATGAAGTACTGACCTTAACCGTATCGAGTTATTTTTAACATTCTTTATTTTCAGCAACAACTTAATATAACATTTGTTGATGATTAATCTCTTCGGGTTAAATATATTACAAATAGATTAAGTAGAAAGTAGAGAATGGAAGTAAATGAGAAAACTGAGGATCATTTTTATCAATTTATTTTATTACACAAATTATCAATCTTACTAATGGTTATAATAAATTAAATAAATCAATGATTTTCATAAATTGTACACAAAAAGTAGGACATATTAATGAATAATGTAAAAAGGAAACTTATAAATATAAACAGTTGGAATGATGATTCAAACAATAGCTGTTTAATATATATATTAACTACAACAGTTGTTCTGTTAAAATATAACCAAAACATAAAACAATAATAAATCTATCCTATTTTGAATGATTTATTTAAATTGTGAACATTTTACATGAAAAAAACACACATGTAGTACGACTATAATTTATGGCCGAACCAATCAGATTTACGATAACAGATCTTGAATTTTGGCGCGAAATAAATTCATTAATTTGGCTAAATAGAGTTTTGGCATTATAACTGATCTCATTTCATGATCAAAACCCTAAATGTAATTCCTAATCCTAACTGTCAACTATAAATATTATTCCTAATTCCTTACACTGATTTATAATCCTCATTTAGCCGTAGTGTGTAGGTGTACAATCTCAAGGTCACTTTAGTATCGCTCAAATGTGCTCAAGTATGACGCGATAGACTAAGGATCTAAGGTCAAGATATAACACTTCTGATTCTAGCTCTTGGTGAATCATATTTTCACATGAATGATTATAATTTTGAGGACAGTGATAAAAGATTCTCTCGCAATTCATTGTAATCATAAGTCTCGATTTGCACTGCTTTTTGAATTACTAAAAGACGTCAAACTGGTTAAATAATTTATGTTCAGAAACATAGAACGTTCATGATAACAATACAAACTACTTAAAAATATTGGTTAAATATTTTAAGTATTTAATTCTAAACTAACAAGACATAAGAACTTGTAAATATTACTTTCCTTATATGAAGTTATGTTACACAGTATAAAATAAGATTTGACCACTGTAGATCTGTGGAATATACATTATAAAATAACGTATCATTCGAATGCAGGTTGAATAAAACTAACCACACTAGGACCTCTAAACTTAGACTTCTGTAGACTTTGACTCTGAATAACCTGAACGATAAAACAAATTTTAATCAACAGTAAACTTATAAAAAGGAAAAGATTAATATTGTTGTGACTTAAAACCTGGCTAAATATCACGTGATTTATTCTCCAACCATAATACGATTTGCTCAACCCTAGTACTGTGCTAAAACCAATTACGTTCGATCGGTATGAGAAGCCTAGCGTCGTTATTAATTCTTTGTTCTCCTAGCCCTTACAGTTGAGTCCAGAACGTCAATAACAACTTCCACTATGCGAATCATTCATTTCAAACATACTTGGTTTATATACCAGCCAAACATCATGAAATAGGAAATAAAATTTATACAAGATCAAACCAAAAAGTGACTGTGAACGTGGGAGACTGTAATTAATAAACTGAGTTTAATTTTAAGAATAGTAAATCGTATAGTAATAATCTGTAGGTGAAAATGAGGCTTATAATAAAAGAAATATAGATATACATTATCTAGTTACTGAATAGTAGTTATACAATAAAAATATATATAATATTAGCCCATTGACAGTACTTAGAAGTTACCCGTTGTTTATTCTTCACTAGGATATAACAGATATATATTTTCTCACGTTGACAAAAATGCTATTGAAATCACTAACATTTTGTATTTTGTGAGAGTCGATATAATACTTTTCGTGTTGTTGTATTCTTGAGGTAAACTGCTCTCATTGTTGTCCTGGACAACATTAGAAGAGTCTGCTTCATTTTGAAGTGATGTGATTCTCCTCAATCTTATAGAAAATTTACGACTGTGTTAAATGGAAATAATTCACTTTTGTCAACTTAATAGTAGCTGAGTTTGAGTTTAATGGTTATTTTTAATTCAGTTGTAAAGTAAAATTCTGACTTATGTTATCTTAGTTTAAAAATTTCTATTCATCTAATGAAACTGATAATTACTTTTATTCTTATTCAAATACTGATTTAAATTACTTAAAAGGGGACATACTGTCCTCAAATAAATAAAATGTTAAAACTAAACATAACCATTTTTAATCCGGAATCATCTACATTACCATTTTGTTGGTGAAACCGTTATGCTAGGTAATTCTAATTCATAGTGCTTTTTTTCGAACTCGAGAGGTTGACGATAAACAAAAACGGTCATTTGGATCAATAGAAAAAAATTCGTAGAATAAATAACGTCCTAATTACATTAATTCCCTTACATATTAAAATCCAAAACATTCAATTCCCAAGACATTTCTATAATACCACATAATTAGGTTTATCCTTTCTATTCATAGTATCCGTCTATATTCCTATAAATCTAATGAGGTAACTATTATTCTTCGCCAAATTTTGTCATAACATGTAACAGTCATCGTTTAAAATCCGCATCAACAATAATTCATGTAAAATAGTGCAGTAAAAACGTTTTACAGAGTATAAAAATATTCCATTCTAGAGTTTACTGACAGTGGGAAAGTATGATTCTATACAGAAGGGCAATAACAAACTGCAATCAGACCTTAGAGATTTTTTCACATCGACTATCATACACAAAAATACACAGACATATCTCGCATGGAATCACGTTGACTCGAATGATATGTCATTGACTTATTTAGAATTATTTTATGTTACTTTGATCCTTTGTATGTTTTAAACTTGTGTTAATTTAATTCGACTATTCAATTATTCTCTGTGGACGCAACTGACAGTGAGCCATGAAACGTCAAAAATCCAATCCTCTAGTCATCTGAATGTTACGAACGTATCATTATTTTTTATAATAATCTGACAGCTTGTCTTAATTACAATATTTTTTGTCTGATGTCCACATAACAAACAATTAATTCGATTTCGTTTATTAATCATTACTTTACTGTGTCTTACTTTTTCCTAATTCAGTTTCTTATTCAAAAAGGTTCTAAAGGGTATGGATTTACTTTATGTGGTAATTGTCCGGTTTACGTTAGCCATGTAGAACCGGGTTCACCAGCAATGCAGTGTGGAATACAAGCTGGTGATTTTATAGTTGCAATTGATAACCTAAATGTATCACGATCTACAAGTAATAGTGTTGTTCGGATGTTCAGGTGAGTGGAATCCTTAAACAAAATATTTTGGTCTGTTTGAAGTCCGGTACAAACTCTTTTGAATGGATCAAAATCACTACTTATTACTGTTCCATTAGGAATGATACGGTCGTGGATTTCTGAGCCAAAATATTCACTTCGATTATAAATCTAATCACCACAATACAAAGGTTTTACAACGTAATATCGATCACCTTCAGTTATTTCAAATAAGAGTAGACCACATCATCAAACCACTTAAACCTATTAATGACTGAAGATGAATCCAAGTTGATAGTCTTTAAATTGTCCGAAGGGGTTTTGTGGAGATTTAGTATTTTTCATAGTAGAAAGCATGAGTCAAGTGAAGCTAGACCACCAAGGAAAACCTGGAAACACTGGACGGCCGTTTCGTCCTAGTATGGGACTCCTCAGCAGTGAGCATCCGCGAACACGCTCTCGCGAGATTCGAACTCAGGACCTACCGGTCTCGAGCCGGTGGTCTAGATTCAATTGACTCATGCTTTCTACTATTTAAATTGTCCGTATAATCTCAATCTATAAAAAGAAATAAAATGATGATATTTAAAATTTACTTTGGTTATTACAAATTTTAAATTTTGTTTACTCGTCACTAAGTTAACCAGAAGTTGGAGATTTCCATTTTTACATTAAAAATATTCGATTATCAATTGATAGATTTTATTCTTTATTATTTTATGGTTGCGATGGGAATAGCGTGAAATTAAATAATCTGGTATCATCATTGATTATTCAATCAAAAAAAATTGCATTTTTGTTCGCCAGAAGATACTATAAAGGAAAAATAACTATTAAGTTAATTAATGTATATTAAAAAAGTCGGTGAAGGGTAAAATTACGATGCTTATCAGTTAAAATAAATGAACTTAATTTCATAACAAAGTTAAGAAGTAAAGTATAAATTCAATTTTCGTGATCACACATTGTTCGAGCTGAATAATTTAACTCCAAAGTTTTTTTATATTATTCTGAATATACTGTTAGGTTTTGCTTTAACTGGAAGTGAACTCTTTCAAAGTTATTACACTAGAGACACAGCGGTCAATTTCGTTAGCCCTGTTTCTAAATGGCTCTAAGCCGGAAGTTTTCATCTCAGAATGCATTTTTATTCTTGTTTGTTTTTCTGTTAAATTAACGTATTATAATATAATTCAATTCATACACATTAGTCAATTAATTTGATCTACATGATTTATTGAATTTAGTTAATGTACCTCTCATATTTTTGGAAACTGAAACTCCAAGCATTTCCTCTATTCAAATAGTTGACACTTTCCAAGTTCAACTCGTGTTGTCAGGTGTTTGCAAGCATCGATATAAGTGAATATATACCATTACGTTTAACTGATAATCTGTGTACGCGTAATCGTAGGTAAAAGCAACACAGGTTCTCCCTTAGTACTATCTATTGCATACTTGGTGTTAAGTTTGCCTTTCTTCGTTAATGTCAACATCAGTCTAAAAACTGAAATCCATTCACTAGTAAACGACACCAGATTGGAAAGGTATCAGAGATATTTCGTAATAGTTTTTTAAGTGCTTTTCCTATAAATTTGGAGCAAAAAATAATTATTAGTCAATTGAAGCTATACCACCATGGAAAACCTGGAAGCACTGAACGGCCATTTAGTCCTATTATGGGACTTCTCATCAGTGCGCGTCCGCGATCTCGAATTGGGAGATTCGAACCCAGAACCTACCAGTCTCGCTCCAGAGCACTTAACCGATAGACCATGGTGGTCTAGCTTCAATTGACTTATGATCTCAACTCTATAAAATTACTAAAATCTTCGCAAAATCCTTTTTGAAAAAATAATCAGCCCTAACTTCTAAACATCTATTAATACAGTGGCTTATTCACTACGGTGTTAAATGATTTAAAAATATACTAAGCGTTCATGATAGTGAATTGCTCATTCTAATTACTGCATTGCAACTTTACCGGTATAATTTTATCTGCACTAAGGACTTGACGAACATAACATTAGTTAATACCCAATCTAAGTTAATACCCAAATCTATTGAACTAAATATCATTCCTTTTTACTGCTATATATGAGCATACATACAAGCAAAAATTACATTATGCTTTGTGTGTTAGAGTTTAACCATTGTAAAAATTTTACAACTACAAAGACAATTCTCTTCTTTTGATGCAAGCATTTTGTAATGCAACTAAATAAGATACCAAAAGTCAATGAATGAAAAGTCAAGGTCATTAGAGAAAATCGAACTCTTTATCTTTGAAAAGTTTACGGACTTTAAAAATAATAATCCAGATTATCAAATAAAGAATCAAAAATTTTCAAACCATTCTTTCCAATCACAATGAAGTTAACGATTAACATTAGACGCTTTAAAATGAAGCGTTCAAACAAATTGTGTTGACGCGCTATGAAAATATGCTACAATTATTTTACTATTATAAAGTTTATTTTTAGAAGTCTTAATCAAGAGTACTTAATTTAATAAAATATTATTACTCTTTAAATGATTACCTATAATTAAATTAAATTTACAGTTAGACAACAACAGGGTTCTGTTATAATGTTTTCAGATATAGGTTAATAACATTAATGTAAATTCATACTTTAAATATCTTTCATTAAAAATTTGCAGCTTCTTTGATATTTGTTCCGTTTTCATTTCACTTGAAACCTAGAATGTCTCAGCATCCTGTTCATATTACTATTTCACGCCCTGTTCTGATAAAACCTAGTATGTTAACTACCAGTAATACACATTCAACTAGCAGTAGATCTCTTGGAAATTTAATTAACAAAACATGTTTCTCTGCACATAAAAAGTTACCAAAGGAATCAACAAAATTGATTCAACCAACAAATATTTCAAAAGTGAGTCATACAGAGTTTTTTTCATCTTTGCCAAATCATCAACATCCTCATGATATTTCTTCATTACCATCATCTTCATTTATAACAGCTCCATTATCTTCACCTTCATATATTGACTATTTAAAACTTTCCAGTTGTATTAATTCACCTAATTTACTTCGAAATTCCAGTCCAACAATTTGTTCATCCATAAATAATTATGTGATACCGAAATTCTCTATTCCTCAGTCAATTTCTTTACATCAAACAATGAATGAACAATTGGCAAGAACGTCTCAAGAAAATTCCTAAAATAATCTACAATCAGCTACTGTTCTATTTTTCTTAATCAAAATAATTCTCATCATAATCAGGAACAACAACAACAACAACAAATAAATGATATAAACGATATTGCTTTAGTTAGAATAATATATAAAGAAAGTTATACAAAATCTAATAAAGTAAGTTTTAATTTTTTTGCACAAGATGCGGCTTTTTGTTCAACTTTTGAACAGTCAGTCGTTTATAAATAGCGCCATTACCCTTTTGCATGATTATTTAATTGAGTAAAATACTCACCTATATGGAACTTTGTTATGCTCATCAATTTAAAATCCAACTGAATAAATTTACAAGTATGTAATTCTAACAATTATTCCTGAAAGCTAAATGGTAAAATCTTTGATTGTGAAATCAGGTAACCTGTTGTAAATTCAATCAGTAGTGTAATTCCTTTCATGATTACAGGTTATGCTGTGCTAAGGTGTTGTCAGCTAGTTTAAAACCTAAGTTTAAAGCTTCCTACTGATTCCTTCAAACAGCCTGAAGTTTTTGATAGAGTCGTTATTAATCTAACGTCTAATATCTAAATGAGTTAATATTAGTGAAATACATGAAACCCGGATAAAATTTGTCAACACACAGAACAAAGCAACCTCATTCATTCAATAAACGTGTTTGTAATTATTTTAGAATAAACTGATTTTATTACAATCAATCGTTTAAGCTCTATGTTAAGTGTGTGAGACTATAGTAACCAATAGTTGGAGACGTTGGATGATATATTTCAGATTTTCTCACAATGGTTCAGATCCATTCACTATTATTTGTCTTCCCTTGAATTAATAGTTTTAAAATTACTGCAAATTTTTTCTCCATCAAATTCATCCTTTTTTCTTGAATCAAGTTTTTTTATAACAAATCTTGTTTACTAATACTGACAATGTTACTATTTCTCCTACTTTGATATTTGTCTTGACGAACGTATCTCACTGTTCTGTTGTAATGTGTCAACTTGAACCGATGGACAAATGTGCCAAGTTTTATGCTGCTTGTGTATGATTGACTGATTGGGTTAGCTTATCATAAATGAGCACAATGAACTAATTTCACATTGGCTGTGACTGATATATGGATTTGCAGTAACCGTATGAACTCAAATCCACTACCGACCATTCACAACTTCTTACAAGTAGGCTTTATGTATAGAAATTAACATAATTTGTGAAAGCAAAATTATTTTATCGAAAGAGGGATTACAAAAATTATGAAATAACTGTTACGGATGCCACAAAAGTTAGAAAACCCCTAAACAGAAGTCATAATTTTGTCAACCTATTTGATTTGCAACCTGCAATTTCGAATTTTTTGTGTGTGGCATTCAAAAGTACTATTCAAGTAAACTGAACTTATATTTACGTTGAAGAGTGTTTTGATTATTAGCCTGATGTGTAAGTGCTTTTTATCATGCAATGACATTAGTTTGAGTATCACTATGATCTTAGTGCTTAAAAGACCTTAAATAAAAAAAATTTTAATCCTTCGTCTGTAAATAACTTGTACTGAGTTTCACTGTAACTTGCAAATTTACCTCGTCGGCACTATTGTAACTGAGTAACCAACTGTTATAACTAGTGTTCAGACTCTCCTGAGTTTACAATCTCATTGCATTCACTTTACAATCAAGAACCACTATAATTCCTTTATTCTGTTGCATATTCCTTGAGACGGGAACCATGAAAATCCTAGGATGCAAAGTGAAAACTAAAAGACTTGTATAATAAAGATTTATTGATTTCAAAACATCGTAAATCACATAATCCCTTTACCACAATGAAATTATTTATTTACGGAATTCCAAACACACCTAAAAATAACAAATGTGAGGGGGGAAAGATCCATACAGTTACTTTTGAAAAAAACAAAATGAGTATAGTTCATAAGAACTAACACAGGGAATAAAATTATCATACCGAACGAGATTTCACACTTGTCAGATAGAGCAACGTTTAAGCGAACTGATGCAAAAAAATATCGACTTCAAAATAACACACTGTACGAAATTCATATCTGTCACCCTGACTAAAGTTTATGCAACTGAAATTGATCTAAACAATATCATCTTCTTAGGCCAACATATTCAGTTTAAGAACAATTTTTGTCATAATCTATTTTCAGAACTTTTCAAGGTTGACAAGAATGTATAATGACGAATGTTTTTTAGTCTGTCCTGTAGAACTTTGAAAATACATTGACTTTTTCAATATGCTCAAACTTTTAGGCTTCCTGTTTTTCAACTATGCAAATATTGTAATTAGCTTATCTTTTCTACATCTGATTGAAGTGACTACTTATAAATGCTAACTTTCCTTATGCATGAGCTATTATAAAAGAATTACAAAATATTCCGACACTAAATCTTGGAGAACTCAAACGAAAAGACTTCGGTTGCTGACATATTTTCCTCATTGCCTGTCTAGTGGAAACATGGGTGATAAATATATTAGAATTCGTGGAGCCTATATTTAATGAATGAAAAAAAACAGTTGTGGCGTCCGAACGAATAAAAGACCTTCCTGGCTGAATCTTGGTGGCTGTTAGAAATATTTGCCAAAGATGTTTTGAAAAATTAGAACCTGAATAAATTTTAAACAAAAATTCCTCGTAATATTGCTCAACTGGCACTGAGGATTTCCTAATTTCATCAGTTATGATTCTTCAGTCTAATTAAGTTTTACATTTTCGGTACCTTTTGATGGTATGAGCAGAAATTGGTCTTATTTTCCCTACAATAAGAAGATACTATTGTAGAGAACTGAACACTAGTTGTATATAAGCGAAAGTTACAGACTATCTCAGTAAATTCGGAAAACCATGCAATGGACAGTTAATTTGCAAATTAACAACCAACAGTCTCATTCTTCACTGTTTCTTCTCTAATTACATTGTTCGTGCATTTTCATACCGATTGCGCTTCATTTTAATTCTTCCCTCATCGGACTTCTGCCAAAACACATTCTATGTCTGACCAACACCATATACTACTTATATGGATATAAGTAGATCATACCACACTGTGAACTAGTGATTCTCTGTGTTTCACAGACTCTATGCGGTCGTCATAATGCAAAGTAATAATAAATACGGTAATGGGGTATAAGAATATGTAGTCAATTTAACATCACAAAATTATCAGTATGTTAATAATGATAAAAATTAATTTCACCAATTATTTCCTTTTTTCCAACGAAAATTTCACTAATAATACCAGTTTCTATAATTTTGCGTCAATGGAACAATTAAATCAACAATAATCACAATATTCAATGAGTATGATGATGATGACATCACCAACTGCAAAATTAAGTTCAAATCAATTTCATAGTGATTTAGAACACCATGGTTAGCCGAGTCTTCTAGAAACAAGAGGTTGGATAAAAGTTTAATTATTATTATTATTTCCCAATTTACTACTGATTGTACAAAAAAATTCTAACGACTTTTTTTACTGTGATCAAAAATCCTATATATAATATAAAATAACATATATTAACATTCCACTACATGCATCAGGTAAGCGAATTATTTATTAAAAAGTATAGAATTTGTTATAATGTTAGTGAAAACAGACAATGGTAAAAACGATGGTAAAACATGGATAGCAGAGATGGATTATATATAGGTATATCGAGGCAATACGCACAGTATGCACATATGCCAATTAGAGACTGACCAGTTGCAGTCCTAACAAATCGATGGGAAGATTCAAACAAACAATACTAAGTTGATGGTAAAACATATTCTCACTAGTGACTTCGAGAAGTACATCCAGGAGTTCTAGTGAGAAGCAGTGACCAGTGGAGTTCAAACCACGTCTGTCGTGAGATAAGAACTTACTGAAGATAATTGGCGAATGGTTGCTCAATTTCGTGGATCGGTTGAAGTTAGACATTAACACCGTTGGATGCCAGCTCAGTGGTCTATCGGTTAAGGGCTCTGGCTCGAGACTGTTAGGTCCTGGGTTCAAATCTCGCGAGTGCGGGTTCGTGGATGCACACTGCTGAGGAGTCCCATAATAGAACCAAACGGCCGTCCAGTGTTTCCAGGTTTTCGATGGTGGTCTAGCTTCAATTGACTCACGCTTTCAACTATGAAAGATAGTGAAACTACATTTACATTGTTTTAAATCATTTTGTGTAAATCTGAATTTATTTCAAAATTAAAACTTCTAATTGATACTTAAAGTATAAGGAATGCAGGGTAAGGTTTTCAGTATGAAACTGTTTGTAATTCATTGATTCAATTATTTTCATTGTGTTCTCAACTGTAGATAAGTGAACTCAAGTTATTTCTCTGACATTGTTTTGGGCTGACAATTCCTGTCTCAATTATTAAGAAATAATATGTTTTATTTAGATCACAAATACACTTCACATGTGGCTGTTTGTAAGCATAAAACTTCACTCCACAGAATCATCCTGAAGAAAACACATTTGAAAATGAATGATGAGTTGAGTGATATGAAAAGATTATTTCAGTTTCCAGACAGTTTTCGTCATGAGCCGACATCAGCTCAAGTGATATTATGAAACTATGGTGCCCTACCATATCTCTGTTGTTTGCGATTCCAAAGTTGTTCAAAATATATACTGGTATGAAAGTCAATCCAGCTGTGCTAGTAAAATATAATCTTAGGTTTTCTTGCTATCAAGACCTTGGTAATGAAGATTGAAATAAATATGCCTGAAGAATGTGACAATATGCTAGCTTCAATGTCCCTCATACTCGTAATAGTTAATTTTACATCATTCAGTATTATATAATAACTTACATACTGACCCCAATATATAGTGGATCATCTTAGTATTCTGCCGAAAGTTTCAGCACCCCCAATAAGTGCTGCATACCAAACAAAATATTCACAAACACGTAAACTAGATTATTTGTTTGATTCCGTACGTAACGTTGTAAAAACGTCAGGGGTGAAATGGTTTCAGATGTCAGTGAAACTGATGACTGCGTAAGTTACATCTGTCTAACATTACTATACCAAGCTGACCGATTGTGTAGTTACAAAAATCAAGTCACTGATTACTATTCAGTCACCGGCTTTTAATTTTTGTATCTCAGTAGATGTTCAGTTAAGCATTTGAATGTGGCGGTTTCAATTCGTGTTTTAAAACTAAACGAAGTATAAGAATTCTTGAGATTTGAATTTCACTTCCTATCACTACGTTGTGTCACCAAAAGAGCTATTATTTATTGTAAAACTATTTAGTTCCTATCACCAATGACTTCATTTTTATGAAATACATGTTGGTGATCTCAAGATGTATGAAATAATAGCGTATTATCGTAATTCACAACAAATATTTGAACTTACTAATTCATTGCCTTCAGTGAATCAGCTTCATTGTTTGTTCTTTAAAACAGGTTTTCAAATTATGTGTTAAAAACAACTATGGGCTTTTTTCCTTTGATTTAGTAGTTAAATATAAAATTTTAACTGGCATTGAAATCATTACTTTTGAAACATTGTTTTATTCGTTACAAACCAGCTAATACTACAGTATATGACAGAAAGCAGTCGCTCACTTTCAAGATTCAGATGTTCACGAATGGCTTGTTCGAATATAAAGACATATGGTTTACAGTGGCAGCTGGCGGATGAGCGTTAGTAGTAAAAGTTCAGAACATTAACGCTCAATTATTATTCATCAATCTAATTTATTTACTTCAAATAATTAAGTAGTTCAGGTTTTTTAAAGAAAAAAAGACGAATGTGGTACAAATGAAATTCCAGAATGAGAAAAAAGTGTCGTCATATTGAACGTTATTTTCCTGTAAACGACTTGTAAATTGTGTAAATGTCAATATTATTCTACTGTTTCTAACTTCGTTTATATTGCTTAGTTTATCTTACTTTCTGTTTTATGAGGCCATGTTCATTAAAATGGCAGGAGCAACAGAAGCTGATTCCCAATGCACACTCAATAAAATAATGATTATAATTACTAGCCTGTTAAAATTCCTATTTTCTGGTAATTTTGGCACTAGATGTGCTGGGGAATACTTAATAGCTTATAAATATGAAATTCATTAGTAACACATGGAAACAGAATATTTCAGTTTTACATTTGTACAGTTTATCACCAATGAAAAGAGATGTTGGGGATATCTTCTTATTACTTGAGATACAAATGAAAATTAATCTTTGCTTTTTTAAGCATTCTGTCCTAGTGACTAAGTATGAATTACATCTTCCTTTTAGGCTTCAGTGACCCTGTATCTGACTCCGGTTCAATCGTTTGATGGTTGTTATTGAAGTATGCATGCCGCCAACCCCCGTATAATTTTATTGTCTTAATCCGTGTTTGAGAGTAACAGAATAAAATAAGTCAAATATGAGAATGAAGTTTGACGATAATAGCAGGAGGATACAAAAGAAATAAAGATAGTATATATATATATATATATATATATATATATATATATATATATATATATATATATATGCTCCAGTGGAGCATATGCCGCCGACTTCCGTGTATCCGGCTTGTACCTTGACACTTAGCACATAGCATTGGATGACATACATTGTAATACACTCTTTCTTTGTTTTAAAGGAGGCTTTGATGATCCTTGGTCCATGAGATTCCCATCTTATAAGTGCATTTTGTGCATGTTTGGACAGCATCGATACAACTCCTTTTGTATATGGGAACTTTCTTCTTCATGTCCATAGTCTATCTGTAGCTCTCTTGAAGCTAGTCTTTGTTGTCCGACCTGTGTCCAATGTGTTTCACTATTCCCAAGCACCTCCAGGTTATATTTCCTCATTTCTGCAACTAGTTGGAAGACTCTCACGGTCTCCCACACTGTAAGAGCATTCCATTTACTTGGATGAATAGTTGCTCTGTTTGTCAGAAGGGGCATCGGCCTCACGAATTCCGAAGGGACTCGGCTTTCACCATGAGACGTCATAACCTATCTAAATGAAGACCTTGTTTCAAAAACGATAGAAGACGCAATATTTGCTACGTTTTTGAAGACTAGTTTAATTATTTCACTATATATGTTAATTCAGTAGACGAAATGTACTCTTATTGTTTTCACCAGATCGACTCATTCAAGAATTTTCGAGCAAAGTACGAAACAGAGGAAACTAAGTATTGATGTGTAATAAATGCTGCAAATCGGAAATAATGTGGAGACGTTTCAAGTAATTAAATTAACGTTAACTTCGAAAGTTTAACACTACAAATCTATCATTATTCGTTATTTTGAAAGGTCGTTGAGAAATCTCCAGGGACACAGATTTCTACTTAACGTTCACTACTGATTGTTGAGACAGAACGAAATTCTGAGCTTCATACATAATGTTAGCTAGTTGTAAAAGTGGCCTGAAATACAGTATTCTTTGTCTTGTGTCCGAATGACTTGAGATTTTGTTCTCACAATTATTACTGACTTTGAGAAAATCATTGAAATTTCCTCTGATCCGGGTTCTACGGTAAAAGTATGATATACTGACGACGCTGAGTGACCATTTAATCAATCAGGAAACGCTGACTACTTATGATAACTTTGATCTGAATAATCAACTGTTACATCACGAATTATGCTTTGCAATAAAAGAAAAAGGTTAAGTTTTGCATATTACCAGTTGAACTGGTGTTTTGAGTTACGGTTATCACTCCATAGGGTTTTTGCCACCAACTGACACCTGCGGTAATGCAGAAGGGCTAGTGTTAGGTATTGAGAGCTAAATGCATCGGATGATTATTCGTACCCGCTTCCTGTACACGAAGATATCTTAATAAAACCTGATGTTGGGAAGTAGTTTGCAAAACTGGACTTCAAGTTAAAATGGATGCATTTTTGAAACAATTCCTGACCATCAATCCTCACAAAAGGGATCGTATCAGCACCAGCGATTACCCCCAGGTGTAAAGACAGCTCTAGAAATATTCTGACAAATTATGAATATTGTGATGGGTGAAATACCAGGCGTTGGTGCCTACATGGACGACATCACTCTTACTGGACCTACTCAGGAGGAATGGTTCCGTATACTTGATAGTGTCCTGTCAAAATTTAAACAGTTTAGCTTACACTTACGTGACTATTAGTGCGATTTCTTTATACAAACCATGAAATATCTCGAGTTCGTGATCGACAGAGACGGATCTAAAGCCAATTCAGATAATATCGATACGCTTAGACGAATGTCAGTACCACAAAATGTTGGCAAATTACGATCATTCTTGCTCATGATCTGTTTCTACACCACATGATTAAACGTTTGTTAAATGGTATAAAATGGCGAGAGTCAAAGGAATACCAACGATCGCTTAACAGAGTAAAAGAAATGTTGTATTCTGATTTACTATTGATCCGCTACAGCCCTAAATCAGAAATTGTGGTAGCGACGGACGCCCCAAATTACGGCATCCGAGCAATCATCCCACATATTCTTCCCGGGGGTACAGAGAAGGAAATTTTTCATGTTTCACGGATCCTCCTTCAGTGAGAACTTAATTATAGTCAAATTTAGAAGGAAGGACATGACCTGATCGCTATAGCTACTCATGAGTTGGAAAACTTATCAGGAGATATAATAATGGGATATTCGGTTAACAAAAAAAATCCAACAGGAATCTGGAATACAACCGCGCGACTAGTCGAGGTCCCAGCTGGTACAAAAAGGAATAACAACCCTTCGAATGGACTTTCTAGGGAAAAATTTCTCCTACGTATTCATTTAAAAGAACGAAGGGTGATGTGATGGGATTAAAAGACTAAATAAAATTTTGGTTCGTTGTAATTTTTGGTTAACATTACTTCCGTTATTTTGATTCAGTATGATTATTCAGATTAATATTTGTTATTATTTCCCAGTGTGATATTTCATTCGTCATAACATGAATTTATTTGAGTATTATATTCTTGTATTAAAGTAAGGTGAACTATGTTGAAAGTAACATGCATTATCATGAGATCTTTTCATAACTCTTGGTATTTTCCATATATATGATTTCATCCTAATTAATAATCAAAGTGGCTGTACAATCAATATATAATGAGTGTGTTTTCGACTAGGATCGCCGTTGTGTTTTAAGGCTACTAAATCTTCATTCATACTAGTCTTAATGTTCTCACTTCACTTCATGAGAATAGCAGTGGTTCCCCGACCTTAGAAGCATAAGTGATAAGCGACGATGGCATAACATATTTCGTTAATAACAACATACTCCAGAATGAGTCAATGTTTAAGCTCATACGTACGTGTCTGTTTGTACACAAAGAGACGTGTAAATAGATGCAATGATGTGAATATTATAAAAAGTAGTTGCATTTTGAATTAAGTAGTATGAGGCGTGCTGTTCATGTGTAGTAGAGTTGAAGTGATTTTGCTATTTTGCATATTGAGTTAGATGTGCCAAGTGATTTGTATAGTGTGGAGTGATGAAAGAAGGCGGATTATGTGGTGCAATCGTCAATAACATGACTGCCTATTTGTGTTAGTGAATTTGGAAGAGGATTTGATTTATATTAATAGTCAGCAATTCTATAAGTCATTTGCTTCAATGTCTAGTTTACCGTTTCTCTTTCATTTTCTCTTGTTTTTCCGTCTCATCTGTTTGATTTTTTTCGAAAGTTTTTTTCCCTTCCCTCAGACAATCTTTTGTTTAACCTTTGCATTTCTGTTTTTTATGTTACTTTTTTTGTTTGACTTCGTACGTTTTTTGTTGTTGCAATATTGATATTTCATCACTTAGATCTCACTTGTTAACTTCACAATAATTAGTAATATTTCATTTCAGTTCATTAGAGCTGAATTACTTTCGTTACTTTTGGTTATATCCATCTTTTTTTCATTTTGTTAATTTTCAAATTTATTTATCTTATCTGAATGGTTTATACATTTCATGGTGAGTTGATGATATTGTTCAATTTGTTGAAATATTTCCCATTTTAAACCAATAGGAACCAGTTGGTAAATGAACGAATAAAAATTCACTCTGTATTACTAGACTGTAATAAATGTTAAGTTAAATTTTGGAAATCATATTAATTAGTTAATTAAGTGATAAACTTATTATTTCCTTGACAATAGAAATTGGAATATCAATGTAAAATGAGATCAGAATTAATCGTATGATTTATGTATCTATTACATAATGGATTATTTTGAAGAGAAAAAAAGAAAATAAATAAACTATCTGCTTTAGGACTGATGATGATGGTTACCCAATAAACTCTTATTTACACAGTCAGATAACTCAATTTTTCTGTAGACTGATTGAGGATAAAATTTTTATAACATGGATACAAATAGTTTATTATGCTCAAACTCTTTCAAGAATGAATCAGATTATTATGAAGGTGAGTTGCAATTTAATTTTTATAATGATTCATGTTACTCGTAGGTGGCTCATAATGTTTTAAGAAAAATATTAATTTTATGGTTTGTCAACTTTAGACTGTTTTGTGAATAGGCAAAAACTACACAATAACATTTAAACAATAATACTTTTCCCATATGAACACAAACTATATTATTATTTGGTGGGTAATTACTCCTTATTTAGACATTTTCATAATTGCAATTCTTTGTTTATTTTTATAATTTATCATATATAAAGACAATCCCACTATTAGAAAGGAAATGACTTATAACAGTGCTGAATAATAACAACAGGATTATTAATAGTGGATAAGGTTGTGTAAAGGTATTGACCTTATTAAATGCGAGTTTAAGGTATTTAATACTGAAATTGTTAAGACGCCATCACTCGATATCGAAAACTCAATAATGTTGCATACGTGAATAAATTAATTAATTAATGAGTAGTTAACAGATATTGTTTACGCCAGAAGACCTGCAGATCCTTGATGGATACTATTCAGGAATCATGAAACAGATGTGCAGTGCATTCCGGTTTTCGAATACTGAAGATTCGCATTGTGGAAATTAGAACAACATATGTAAGCGAACAACTATTTTCAATTAGATCGTCATCAGGCTTTACTATCTATCTATCGTATATCTCCATCATTTAGCAACGGAGTTTTTTTCCGTCTCCTTTATATATATGAAGCAATAGGAATCCGTACATTTCACCTCAATTTATGTGTACAGAAGAAATTTGTAACACCCCCTATCCCTTCTATTGCCGGACAAAATTTAACAAATGACATTATTATTATCTAAATGTTGTTTTTACTTTTGTTATCATTTGTTCGTAATTTTCCGCCTCTTTCCGTTTGTATACTTCACTATTTAATTATTTACATACTTCTTATTACGTAATGATTTAAATGTTATGTGATGACTATTCTAAGGTTTTCGATGGTGGTCTAGCTTCAATTGACTCATGATTTCAACTTTGAAAAATACTGAAATCTCCACAAATCCCCTTCTGATTATAATCATATGCTCACTAGTGACTGACTTCAAGATACATGTCCAGGAGTTCTAGTGGGAAGCAGTGACTAGTGGAGTTCAACCACGTCTGTTGTGAGATATCAACTCACTGAAGACAATTGGTGAATGGTTGCTCAGCTTCGTGGATCAGTTGAAGTTAGACATTAACAACGTTGGATGCCAGCTCAGTGGTCTATCGGTTAAGGGCTTCGGCTAGAGACTGGTAAGTCCTGGGTTCGAATCTCGCGAGAGCGGGTTCGTGGATGCGCACTGCTTAGGAGTCACATAATAGGACGAAACGGCCGTCCGGTGTTTCCAGGTTTACGATGGTGGTCTAGCTTCAAATGACTCACGCTTTCAACTATAATAAATACTAAATCTCCACAAAACCCCTTCTATAATTAATATTCTAAGTATGTTTACCCACGTTTGACTTTCTATTTCCAATATTTATCTATTGATAAGACTTTTGTTATCGCAATTTAATATTCTTATTACTATCAGTACACCTTTCTTCCGACTACCAACTCGTACTTTTAACTATTATGCTCGGTGACGTATTCTATTTCATTGTGATTATTGACTCAAATTACCTTGATTGGTCCAACATTTTCGTATAAATATTCATGTATATTAGAGTAAAGCCTGATGACGATCTAATTGAAAATAGTTGTCCGCTTACATATGTTGTTCTAGTTCTGGTTTTCAACGACTTTCCAGCTAATATAAGTTTGCGTTTATCTTAAAATCGAACGAACCTTTACAAAGTACCTAACAAAATGTTAAAAAAATTATTCAACAAATTGGTATCATCATATTAATAGCAATACAATCGGTGTTATATAATAGATGGTATTTTGCTTCCTGTAGGAAATACTTTAATTGAATATAGTACGTAGAACGTGTATTCATATCAAAAAGTAATCCATTAACAACAAACAAAAATTGGTTTTAGTTTGCTTTGAAAATGATCGATTCCATATAGATTATATAGAATTATCCCATTAAAATGTAAAAATAAAGAGTAATATAAATTTGAGAAAAATGTTAGAGTAGATTTTCTATGAACCTATTTTTGTTTATTCTTTTTGTCTCTTTGTTCGAGCAAACTTAGTCATAGATTACAATGAAGGTGATTTTCGTCAGCTGAGGATCTACTGATAAACAGGGAGCACTGGATAAATGCATTGTTTAAGTATGAGACTCCGCAGCAATGCTTACTTACAATCTCGTCAGGGATTGAACCTAGGATGATACACCACAAACAATTCGACTTGCAATCATATAGTTTACATTTCCAACTTCAAACAAATGACATTTATTATTATCATAGACGACTGCTTCAAATCTGAGGTGGTTAGATTTCACCATTGACGACTCTGACTAGAAGTTCGGTAATCCATTTCGAATTCAGTCATCAAAGATTTCGCCAAGACCTTAGTTTTGTGACATAAAGCTGGAAATGCTAAACATTGGGTTGTAACTCAGTAGACAAAGGTGAAAGTCCCCGGGTAAAACCTGCAGGTCTTAGTCTTTAGTTCCATGTAGGGTATTGTAAAAACACCAGTGATTAGTCCCTAGATTTCTGTAGTTTCGCAGATGTTATTGATCGACAGTTAAAAATTGAAACATCTGTATGATATTACATATTATTATTTTCGTAGATAACTGTAGATTTATCATAATTTTAATTGACTAATTAGACTGTTTCATGAGGTGTATTCGCCATTTGAGCTTGATGAAGTCCAAAGGTTTTTTCGGAAGAAAGACTGTCATTTCAAGGGATATCAACACATCACGTGGATGTGTTTTCGTGTAGAGATCTTTGAAAACGTCTTTATCCTGATGCACCTGGGACACGTCTACGTCTCATGGATACCAGTAACACAGGTACATTCACCCTTGGGACAAGTATATTCTATATGCATATCGATGTTTCATAGGCTTTCACTTATGTATCTCCTGTCATAAACTTAGGTATACTCACACCAAGGAAGATTGATGGTTACCATTACCTTCATTCGTACTTGCTACCTCTTTCTGACATTAAGGAGTTACACGCACACCGCTGACAAATAGGCTTGCCCTCATGCACTTCATAACATACACATAGGAATAAACACTCGTAAAGAAGGATTGACGATCACCTCTCCGTTCTCTTGTCTTTGCTGACATTCATGCAGTTCATATTTATAGGGATGCACAAAGAATAGTCCTTTACGATTTCAGTACCTCAGGTATGGTCTTTGAATTATCCAAGATTCAATAATGTGGTGTATTAGTTTGATCTCCACAGACCTCTAAAGTTACCTGATGAGGTTACTTTTTTACTCAGCAGCACAAACGAGAGGTCTTTGGCCGGATTTACAGCCAGATTGTTTGTATTTATTTTATTATCAGTTGTAACACTCATAAAGGTTTAGTTCAAATAAATATCTTCCTTTGTTCTATTTATTACTAAATCTTCTGACAAAAATGTTTACTAAACTAAATCCCATTTTCTTTAATGGTTAAATACGTTGTAAATGTTTTCCGGTTGATCGTATTCAAATATTTGATTTTGTCGCTTAAATTCTAAATTTATAAACATATTATATTCAAAAGGGAGTAATCTTATTACAACTTTTTTGCATAGTAGTTAATCTTGATCAATGAACAAACAATAGAGTGTTAAAATACAAATTTGTCAATTTGATTATATCTTAGGTATGGAAATTTTGAAACTTTTCAAATGACAATTACTCGGATAACTTCATTTCAATACAAGTAAACACAAACGTTATATTCATGATTCTAAACATTTTTCCTACAAACAGCTTGTCCATGCAATTAATAATCGTAGGAGCCTAGTGAAGTCTTATTGTTAGAGGCTGACCAGGGCTTTCAAGACGACTAATCGTGGGTTTAACTCTTTCGTGAACATAAACACTGAAATTCAAGCATACCCAGCTGATGAATGATGCAAGATAGATCTAAATGTGCATTTTAGTTCCCGTTTTCTCATATTCTTTAATATATTAGAAAGTTAATTTGACTATATCGGGTTTGAAGTATATCATAATTCTTACTTTCTATTTGAGTGCCCACGAAATATGAAAAAGTAATCGATCTCCATTTCCCTGTCTTATCCAACATCTAAACAACAATCAGATACAAAATCACCTCTTTATGTAGTTAAAAAAATTAAAAGACAATGTAAAATAATTTAACTTTTAAATCTTTATTACTAATTTTACTAATAAATTAGTTTAATTTCCATCATTATAATGTATTGCATGAAACATGGGATATATACCATGGTTAATACAAAGAAGTAGATTGGGTCTAAACATCGAAAATAATTGATTTTAAGTTAGTTATGAATAAGTATGTTTTTTGTTGGTGGATTTTAAACAACTGATTAACAACTAGTATAGTCCTTCAGGCGTTCAAATTTTACTAACTTAAAGTCATTATCAAGTGTTACGAAGGGATAAATATACGAGATCAGTTCTTAAGTCTATTATTGTTTTCATTCTGTAGTACCTCAGTTTTTAGTTCCTCATAAAAACTGTTTGGTTTAACACTCTTTTTAACACAGTATGCTGAATATTCATTGTAGTATTCGTTTTATTTCAGTGTAATATTTTGTTCAGTGTAAAACTGAATTTTTTACAGTGTGGTGTTTACTACGTTTGATATTATTTAATTTAGTGTGAAGTTCTTTCATTATGATGTAGCATGCATTTTGAAGTAATTATCCCTAACACCCATCTCCGTACTGTTCTTATTTCGCTTATATATGATATCATTTTTACTTTCTATATTGAAACATACGAAATCCCAATGTTTTCTAGTCTTAAATACAAGCACTCCAAAGTAAGAGACAGCATGAGAACACGATGCTAGGGTAATATCTCCTACTAAAAAATAATGGCAAATATGAAGCTCCGATTTAATGATTTAGTCTGAAAGATTT